GCATTGCGAGTGGACCAGCCTGAAAACTCCGGAGCTGCAGCTTGAAGATCACCGAGTTTCGGGTGGTGGCTCGTCAGTATTCAGTAGTCGTCTTCCAAGAGGCCGCCCATGTGCGGGACGAGCACACTCAGACAGGCAGAGTCGTTGTTGAAACCTGAAAGTTTACCTTAGCATGCATTCTTCTTCTCTTTGGTAAGTGGAGAAGTGAGAAGTCTCCGTCTCTGGGGGTTCACCGCCGAAGACCCAAGGTTGCTTGGACCAGGAGTCAGCTTGCCAATGGTGAGGCCAGCGAATGGCGAATGCTCCGAGGAGATTCGTATAGGACAAGGAAAGTCAAAAGGGAGTATATCAAAGTTTTCGTCTCAGGCCAACGTGCAGCCCGTGTAGTGAAGTCGTGCGATCGGGAGGCGAAATCATACAAGGGTGGGACAGCCAAACCAGCTCTGATCCACTGGGTCGCAGCGCTGGGGCGCCTTGAATGGCTTCATGGGGGATCGTCCCACAGTCCCAGACCGTTCGATCGCCTATTTTAAGTTGGCTAGTATAAATACCAGCCGCCGTAATTTACTCCGTATGGGCGATGACTAGATAGCCCTCGTCATCAGAAGAATCATAGCACAATCGTTGTGATCTCCTGCCGGCCTTCCTGTCTGGCCCGGGTGCGGCGGCAAGAGACGGGACCAAGGCAAGTCGACTGCCCGACAAAGACTCTGCGAGACTACGGTAAGACCAAGGAAAGGCGCAAAGCTAGTTAGCGCCCTCAGAACCATGAACTGAAAATTTACTGCCATGAGGCCAATGCGACCATGAACGAGATCGCATGGCAGCGATGGTGTGGGATATTTGCCCCTCACGAGCTTGGAGGGTGAAATTTTCCAATAATTTCTTGCCTCCGGTCAGATCCTCTCCGGGTCCGCCTTATCAATATCAGTTGCAGTTGTAGCGCAGCGCCAGTGCGTGCATGCAGCTCTGGCCGGGCGGGTCCAGCAGGAGGTGACTGGCAGGTTTAGTCTTGATACTGCCCCATTCATCCAGAAAATGACGATTATTCCATTATTCAATTTCTTGTAGACTGAGACCGATCCTACCTTTAATCCTCTCTATTAATATTACTTTGGGCCTTCTCGCCCTCCACGAAGTATATATCCTTCACCACTGCGAAACGCTCTTCGTTTTCCCCCTTCTCCACCCCATTCCCCTCTTCCTTGATTTTGGTCCTTATCAATCCCGTCATCGCTTCCCCCCTACTTTAATATTCGCTCACTTCCATCGCTTCCTTGCTCTTCGTTTTTTGTCTCTTCCGCTGCTTCCCGCCTCAGCATTCACCATCCCGGGCTTTGATGTTGCATATACAAGGTATGGACCGTCTGATTAGAGCGTTCTTACCTGCGCTTTGCCGGTAGAACTGTTGCACCGGTCACTTTCCCCTCTGCCTAAGATTCACTTCCACCTGCCTTTCCTTGCCTGCATGGTGTGACGGGCGCCGTGCTGTGGCACCCCGGTTGATCCAACTGCCTGCCTATCCTAGTCGAGAGGCATCCTGTCGTCCGTTGCGCCTTCCTGCCTCGTTCGCTTCTAGTCACAGAATCTCGCCGTCCATTGAGATTTTGCTGTGAACTACCTACTGGAGAGCTTCACTGCCTCACCATACCACACTATCTTTGGATGCTGCCTCACCTCGTTTCTGTCTGAACCCTGCATGTACATTTGTGAACTTTTTGTGAATCTGCCGCCGCCACCGTTCGTTGTTCCGTGCAACCTATTTTCTTTATATGGTACTCCTGCTAACGCCAAAGGATAAGGGCTCGTTCAAAGACCTATTGTCTCGCCCCTGTTGATTTTTTAATCGTCCCCTACTTTCCCTCGACGTACCAACAAAAAGTGATCCTCCTCTCTCCGCTGCTTATTTCGTCATTCCGTCGCCCACTTCTTGTGTTCGCTGCATAAGACCGGCCGGATGCCATACACTGCGCCGTTGAAGACGTCGCCTTCTACACAACACATTGAACACTCCGATCTGAGCACGCCCCCGTCTCCGAACTCACCCATCGTGGCCAACTCTCATGCAGGCAATCTAAACCTGCCCCCGTCATACTCCTCTGCCTCTTATGTCCGTCGACACCGACGATCCTCATCCAACAGCAAGACGTTCATATTTCCAGTGCCGGACAATGGCCATGAGCACAGCAGCCGAAATGCCGACACTTATGCTAGTATTCGGCAATCGCCTTCACCTGTGAACGAAGGCCCAATTCCCCCAGGAGCCCTGCTTTCACCCCCGGAATCGGGACAGAACTCGAGCGATGAGGAGTCAACCACTCGGTCGAGGGATGTGCTTCAACTAGAAGAGTTGGAGGCTGCTGTTAGGTCAATTGAACAAAAGCGGGCCTCATCTCCTGACAGACAGCCTGATATGCCTTCAACATCAAGTGGGGAGGGCGGTGCCACTTGTGCGGGGAAGCCTGTTCGCTCTTCTCTGGCGAAAGATAATCGCATGGTCGCCCATTCTCGGTCGTTTGTCGAAAATTCAATCACTCGAAAGCAGGAGGAAGCTCTGACAAGCTCTCCGGAGGACAGTGATCGGGATGAGCCCGAACCGAAATCTCCAATGGTGCGCAAAAAGTCCGGCGAGCTTGTAAGGCCAGCTTTACGTCCACCCTCGGCCCGCCGACGGCCGTCTAGCATGCCTGGGACTCCTACGTACGCGAAAGCGGTCCACTTTGATGCCCAGTTGGAGCATATTCGCCATTTCCTACAGCTTGACAAGCCCCAAGCCGTCAGTGCTGGCTCGTCACCCGTGGAGGACTTGGATGGTGAATCGGAATATCCGTTTCACAATCAGCCATCGGAGCCTGCTTCTTTTGAATTGGGACTTCGACTGTCAAACTTTCCTCATAAATTGTCACCACAGACGAATCAACGTGTTCGCCTCGAACGACTGTTCCTGTCTACCGATAAGCACTCTTTGGTTGGGTTGGTGGTAGTTGCTAACCTTGCTTTTGAAAAGCATGTTGCTGTCCGCTTCACATTTGATGGTTGGAGAACAACTTCGGAGGTAACCGCCGAGTATAGCCATGATGCTCGACAGAAGCAGTTGCATGATGGATACGACCGGTTCATGTTTAACATCAGACTGGACGAGCAGACAAATCTGGATAAGAAAACAATGTTCGCCTGTATCAGATATAATGTGAACGGCCAGGAGTACTGGGATAACAATGGCGCGAGGGACTACCAGGTCAATTTCACAAAGATCCCGAAGGCGAAGTCAAAATCCGGAGAGATACCTCGCCCGCGTCCTCGTATTAACCTACCTCGAAGTCGAAGCTTCACTGGGTCTGGCAGTCGACCCCATTCAATGCCTTCGTCTCTGAAGGACTTTTCTGAAATGCATCGCTACATATCATTCGGCCCCCCACCAAACGATCGAAAGGAAAAGCCTGAGGACGACGATGATGTGCCTCATGATCCTGAGGCACCAGTTCCGTTACGCCGCGATAAACAGCCTCACCAGGTTTTCGGCAATCGCTATGATTTTGAATCGTCCTTGTCTGCTGTCATGCGCATAAAACCAGAACTTGATCGCACTATGTTGACTGCCCGGGCAAAATCAGGAACTCCTGTCCCGCAGTCTGATTCACGGGCCCCATTGGCTCGTGCGCCTCAATTTGCTCAACCGAGCCCCGAAAAGTCTTCTTCGATAACATCAGACAAGCCGAACCGTGAATCTTCCGTGTATAGGGAACTTGTGGATCGATACTGTTTCTTCGGTTCTCGGACTTCTCCCCAAAAACCAAACCTCCCACTCAAAAAGAGTGATTCAGGAGCAAGCCAAACCGCCAGTTCATCGTCACCGTCATCGCCGCCAGATAGCCATGCGATGAAGGAAAGCTCTGCCGATGCGTGTCGGAGCTTACCAACATCTCCCCCGTCGGCATATTCATACAAATACTTTGAGCCCATGCAAGAAAGGCTTTTGAATGAAACTAAAACACCTGCCTTGATAAGCCGATAATCCATGAGTCCCGCCACCATACAACCTAGAGTTGTCGCCGTTCCATCGCCCACGATTGAAACAACAACCTGCTTCGCGCCCATTTTTGTTTTTTAACTCTGCTCAAATCAAGCTGTTGCCTTTTGCTTGCTTGATTAGCTGCATACATATCTTCGGGGGTTGGCCATCCCTGATATATCCGTGACAAAGCTATTCCACGGATTTGTGTTTTGTCTTTTTTTTTTTTCGCATCGGAGTTTTCCGTTTCTGTTCAGCATTTGGCTAGATCCTCTGCGATGCACCATAAACCGCGGGATCATGAGTCTTTTGCCCATTGTATTCTCTACCTAATTTCATAACTTACGAGATGGCTGGCAGCATCTGAGATGCCCACGCCATGTCTAGCTGCAGCCAACGCGCTTGCGTCAGACGATCCATTCTGCCATGATTACGATTATATGTGTGTTGCTTTGTTCATTCTTTTTTCCCTCGCTTTGATTCTGCTGTGAATGAATTTGGCTCGCCAGATCTTTCCATAGCACGCATTATCTGAGGAGGCTCATTTCAGGTCCCAAAAGCCTGTCGTTTTTTGTTAATTTAGTCCGTTGATTTGAATCATATGCATGGCGTCGGGGATCACATTGTCTTTTGCTCCTTTTTTTTTTTTCTTTTTTTTTTCCCACCTCTCTTCTTTGGAGCATGCGCAGTTTAATTGTATTTACAACTCATTTCACGGAGTTTTGGGTTCATATCAGATGCAGTGGGTGCCAGGGCACATAACAACAGAAGCGACTAGGCCTAGCAGACCTGAATAAACTCTTTTGACTGATAATATCATCTTCACTGTAGATTAACCAGTACTACTTGTATGTTGTCTAAGTTCATAGATCTATGAATACTGGTAGAGGGTGATGTTCTGGAACATCACGTGATCGTCCCGCCGACCCCACCCGCCCGCGTTCCAAACCGTCGCGCCCGCACCACATCAGAAATCCGCCCAAAACACCTCCAGGAAAGCAGTCGTTCATAACTCCCATTTTCTCGACCCCCACCCGCCAATCAACGCTTAACGTTGCTTTTGGACTCCTTGCGACCGACCCTCGTGCTATTAGTCATTCCCTCAAAGGAAAACGCGCCCCAAATCACCTGTCGCCTTCCGCCCACCTATTTAAACCCCTTTCTCCCGTTCCTTTTATCGATTCTTTTTCTTTTCCCCTCCTTTCCCGTTACAACTGCTTCATCTCGACTTTTCTCCGCCACCACTTCATCAAAAAACCCCATCCTCCATCGAATTTTATCATCCTATCAAGTTTATTCATTTCATTAACATCCTTTTATAATGTCTGGACGTAAGTAATACTTTTTTTTTCATTGCATGTTCCCCTTATTATTGATGGCTTGTTCCTGCTGGCCGGTGGACGTGGGTCGTGATGCAGTCAAAAACACGTGACGTCAACCATGCCTCAGGCCAACCATGCCTCGACCAACCCTACCTCCCCTCCATTATACCACGCTTTTGCCACGATTATTTTATAGTCCTTGAGCTTCTACTAACTGATAAACTTTAGGTGGCAAGGGTGGAAAGGGTCTCGGCAAGGGCGGCGCCAAGCGTCACCGTAAGATCTTGCGTGACAACATCCAGGGTATCACCAAGCCTGCTATCCGCCGTCTCGCGCGCCGTGGTGGTGTCAAGCGTATCTCCGCCATGATTTACGAAGAGACCCGCGGTGTCCTCAAGTCCTTCCTCGAGTCCGTTATCCGTGACGCTGTCACCTACACCGAGCACGCCAAGCGCAAGACCGTCACCTCCCTCGACGTCGTCTACGCCCTCAAGCGCCAGGGCCGTACCCTCTACGGTTTCGGTGGCTAGATCAAAGCAATCAAATCCACTTTTTCTTCTTTTTACTCTACGTTCGACCTCTCGCGTAAATTTTGTGTTATCTTCGGCTATGGCAATTGATTGGGTTTGGAAGGGTGTTATTCTTTGGTCGGTCGGGATTCGGGACGGTATTACATGCTTGGTTTTTGATGAATGTCTACGGAGAAAATTCTCTTTTCTATGGTTGCCTTGTGGCTACGCCTAGGTTATGGATTAGATGGGTTGACTACCAATCGATATTTTTCTCCCCACTGCTCACTACTACAAAACTCGTAGAATTCAGGAGGTATCCCGCCTTCCTAGCCTAGGAACCTGGGGGAGGAGGCTCCTTCCTGATCTAGTTGGGCGTGGCGATGCCGCCCAGGTTCCGAATCGCGTCGAGAGGAAGGAGCGACCTTACGTGCCTTCCACCTAGAACCAGGGCAGGTACCTAGCGCGATCCAAATTCAAACCCAGAGGGATCGCCTCACCCTGGTTTAGATGAGGATGGACTGAGTTCGCTGGAATTTTCGTAGCATGGCGCTTAGCCGAGTCCAAAAATAAAACACTCACAGCCCATGGAGAAACGACAGGCCCAAAGATACCTAAGCACCCTCCATTTCCTTGGAGATCGTTTGGGGTGTTTTGCTTTATGCCACTGCAATCCTATGGGAGTGCTTGTTTTAGCGCTGGGTACTTCGACTGTCTGCGTCAGAGTCCCAACTGCCACAATGACCCTCCAGCTTAGACTCGCCTGGATTTCCTTCCAGGCGCTTGCAGGGCAGGCTTAAATACGGTGCTTCCCTGGTGGTATATGGATGGATATTCCATAGACGCCGTCCTTTTCCTCCCTCAATCAATCGTTATTTTGTTAGCTTTGCCTACTGGGCTTCTCTATTTTACTTGGACATTTCAATTAATTCTACTCTCACAACCTTTGTTAGTTGGTCAACATGGCACCCAGGATTCGTCATACCCATGATGAATATACGGTGGCTTGGATATGTGTCAAGCCTGTGGAAATGGCAGCTGCTCGGTGTATGCTGGATCAAATCCACGAGAACTTGCCTGTCCAGCCGAATGATAGCAACTCATATATACTTGGACGGATTCGGGAACACAATGTTGTGATTGCATGCTCACCCAGAGGCAAAGATACCGCTATTGAGGCGAGCTCTGTGGTCGTTAGGCTATTGTCCAGCTTTCGCTCAGTTCGATTCGGGCTCATGGTTGGTACCGGAGGAGGTATACCAAGCGGTGGTGCAGATGTCCGCCTTGGAGATATTGTGGTCAGCAGGCCAACAGGCACGTATGGAGGAGTCGTGCAATGTGATTACGGAGCAGTGTTAAGCAATGGACACTTCGGTCGAAAGGGCGTGATCGCTCCCCCGCCTCAAATTCTTTTAACTGCACTGTCAAAATTGCAGGCTCACCAAATCATTCATACTGGTGAATTCTTGAATTTTTATAGTGAGCTTGGGTGGACTGTTGACGAGGGACCCTCCGTCTTCGCACGGCCGTCTGGGGATGATCGCCTATATCATTCTGATTACCGCCACCTCGACACCAGATCTCAAAGTTGCGCCAAGTGCGACAAATCGAAGACCGTCTTTCGGGCGTCAAGAGACCAGGACACGCCCGTAGTGCACTATGGGATCGTGGCATCTTCGGACCATGTGGTGGAAAGCAGCGAAATCCGAGATAAATTGGGTCGCGAATTGGGCGCTTATTGCGTGGAGACGAAGGCAGCAGGAGTCATGGACAATCTTCCCTGTATAGTTATCTGTGGTATTTGCGATTACGCAGACTCCCACAAAGATGATAAGTGGCAGGGATATGCATCTGGAGTGGCAGCAGCATACGCAAAGGAGTTGCTAATTAACACCTCGGTTGTTCAAGCGGATCAACGTGCATCTATCTTTCGCACATAGGGTTCATAGGCATTTCCAAGCCGTCTTCAGGGGTTCATCCTGTTCATCCAAAATACCACGTACTATTAGATCTCACTGCGGCCCCCAGCAGTTGAGGGCTCCCGAGAATATTAACTTCAGAATCTGTGGCACAATCTACGACCTTTTAAGTCAGACACCACGAAAAGTAGCATTTATCCATGACCCTGGTGGTAACAAGAAAACATAGCTAGCAACTAGGTTTGTGCGTATTCACAAGAACTGCTCTCTTCTGGCTCGATGGCAAAAGCCGCACGAAGCTCCTTCACTCGCTAAATTCAGCCCCGTCCAGTATATCTGGTCGAGGTCAAAATTTCAGTGCTGGAAATAAAAGGGAACCTCAAAATAATTCCTCACGGGGTTTGTAGTTGCTAGCTTCTCGAGAGAATAAGAAGTGGCTCTTTATTTTTGATAATGTGCAACAGGGCGTGTCTGGCCGCTGAACCGGCTGCGGTGCAAACTCCGAACGTCGGACTCGCACACGGGGTAAATTGAAGCTTTTGCGTGGGAGATAAAACTTGTGTCTTAATCATTTGTTTTCTTTTTTTCTTTTTCTTTTTTTTTTTTTTTTTCGTTGTCCCTACAGCTTCACAATGTAATGAACATATCCCAGTCTTGGCTGACGGGTGTAATGACCGACTGCAACAGGTACAGGCACAGACATAGACCAATCCTATCTAGACCAGCTGCCTTGTATATAAAACATAATTAGATTTCCCTAATTGCTACTACTTGGAAACTACTTCATCCAAAGGTGCCATATTTGTCTGCCTGTTCGTTTGTTTGCAGGACAAGAGCATAGCCACACTGGGAACCACGGTAGAGGGTTCGGCAAGCAAACACCACGCCAGGAACACACACGCAGACCTGGAAGCCGACAAGGCTGAATCAAGGAGCTCATCCTGTAAATTGTTTCAAATGCGCCTCTGAAAGCCCGCAGAAAGAAGCTCCTGTGGCTGGAGCCGAATAGAAGATGGCGAATTTGCCTGAAGAGAACGGCCTGGGCCTGTTGAGGGCAAGTGCTGCAGCAGCCACAGTCAGCCTTACCACCACGAGGCTGAGCACACGACCCTATAGATATGATTGGCCACGCTGGAGAGCTGAGCCACTTTGGGACAGAACCGCTCGTCATTATTGTGGGTCCGATCTGGGGCGATGTCATCAGCTCCTCGTAAACCATCTCGCTTTCTCGCATAAATAAATTTAGTTCACCCCTCCTCCATCGTTCTTTCGCGTCTATCAACTATCTTTCATCACAATCATGTCGTACCATAACTATCCGCCACCATGTAAGATTTTCTCACATAACTATAGTGGTCCATGGTAACTAACGTTCTTTAGCCCAATACCCTCCCCCTCAACAGGGTTATTACCCACCCGGACCGGGGCCCCAGCATAACGCACCTCCTCCTCACAGTCAACATGGTTACCCAGCTCCTGGGCAATACCCTCCTCCAGGTGGACCTCCGCCCGGGCCTCCACCTCCTGGACCTCAGGGATATGGTGCGCCATACCCACCAAATGGCCCTGGGCATCCCCAGGGGTTCGGAGGTCCCCCGCAGCAGTACGGATATCAGGGTGGTTATGCACCACCACCACCCCCTCAGGGCTTCCCACCACAACCAGGACCCCAACCAGGATATGGCGGCCCTCCCCCCTTTGCCACTCCCTCTGCCCCTCCTTCACCAGGGTATATCCCCGGACAAACTGCCATTGGAGACTTCCGCCGTGAAGCCGACGCGCTTCGCAAAGCCATGAAGGGATTTGGAACAGACGAGAAAGCCCTGGTTCAGGTCCTTAGCAAGCTCGACCCGCTCCAAGTCGCTTCAGTCCGGGCAACCTATTCCTCCCATATCCGCCGTGATCTCTACGCCGACGTCAAATCCGAAACAAGCAGCTACTTCCGCCAGGGTCTTCTCGCGATTATCGACGGTCCACTCCACCATGACGCCGCATCCGCCCGCGACGCAGTCCAAGGCGCGGGTACAAAGGAATGGCTGCTAAACGACATCCTCCTCGGCCGCTCAAACGCCGACCTCAACGCCATCAAATCCACTTACAACCAAATCTACCACCGCTCCATCGAGCGCGACGTTGACGACGACCTCTCTTTCAAAACAAAAACCCTCTTCAGCCACGTCCTACGCGCCGCACGCAGCGACGAAACGAAGCAGGTGAACTACCCCGCTCTCCAGTCCGAAGCACAACACATCCACAGCGCCACGGCCTCGCGCATGGTCAACAACGCCGACGAAGTCTCCGCGATTTTCGCCCGCAGCTCGAACAATGAACTCAAGGCCCTCAGCCACGCGTTCCAGCAACGCTACCATGTTTCGCTTGAGACACACATCGAGAAAGAGTTCTCCGGCCACATGAAAGACGCTCTGCTGCATATGCTCCGGACCGCGTTGGACCCTGCGATGCGTGACGCGATTAACCTTGAAGAGTGCATGAAAGGCATGGGGACGAAGGATGAGAGGCTGGTTGTTCGTGTTGTCCGTGTCCACTGGGACCGTCAGCATCTTGCGAATGTTAAGGCCGCTTATAAGCATAAGTACAAGCAGGATCTCCTGCAGCGGGTGAAGGGTGAGACGAGTGGTGATTATCAGAGATTGTTGATTGCTTTGTTGGAGTAATCCTTTTCTCTCTTTCTGTGTCTCCTCCATTCTTTTTAATGTTTGATGATGAGGTCTTCCTTTTTTACAACTTTGTATTATTCTTACTGCTATGGATGTTGCTTTGGGTGGTTAGCTAGTCGGTCTTTTTTCTTAGATAATGATAATGATACCAAGGCTGCAAGATCGTGGAAGTTTTGTCTATGTTTTCGGATATCCTACAATTACGGACGCCACGCGTCTTTGATAGGCAGAAGTGTTTGAGGGCGTTACTTCAAACAGCTAGGCAGAAGCCGTAGAATTAGTGACGTTATGTACATGGAGATGGAAATAGACAAGGCAGAAATGAGGGCGGAAGGAATACAAAGCGGTCAATCATAGAGAAAACAGAAAAAGGAATTCATAATCTCATATCATATGCAATGCAGTAAGTCGTCGATCTGGTAGTAGTATGCATATCTTGCAGAGCTTGTGGATCAAAGAACCAGGAACAGGAGAAGGCATGGCGCTAGTCCAACCGATAAAATCAAACACGTTAGGCAATTTCTGCTATGATGGAAACGTGAGAGCCAGGGAATAGCCCCGTCATCCCGGCATAACAACCCCAGTACCAGTCATTGTTGATGTTTTCCGCCTCCGTAATTTCCGCGCCACGAGGGAACATTAGCTCGTCGTAAACGCCTTCTTCTGGGTACCAGGACCACATTGCTTGTACGATTAGGCCGACGCCGCCGTCTGGTGGGAAGCGACGGGAGGCCGAGGGAGCCGTGACGGGGCTTTGTGGCTGATTAGGGTCGAGCGAGGAAGGAGTGCTTGGATCGGAATTCGGTATGCGGTCACGGACGCGTGAAGTTTTCTTTCGACGCTCAGATCCTTCTTTCCAGCTCCAGTCACCTACAGTAGATGGACTCTCCGCTGTAGGCGTTCCGCCAGCGCTGGGGGCGGCTTGAGCTGGGGATGAGGCCGACGCAAGATGCTTGTCCTTCAAAGCGTGGCCGCCAACAAGGTTGCGCGCAATGACGCGGCGCTGTCCTTCAGGATAATCTTCGAACCCAATAACAACCATGCGATGGCCCTTGAGGCAGCGACGCCATCCGTTGAGTCCGTTCTCCTTGCGTATTTTTGACGTTGCGACAAACTTTAGGTAGCAATTCGCGCAGAGGTCATAATCCCCGTTATTGCACTGGAGGCAGTGAAACCGAAGCGTCGATGTGGAGATGGGACTGGTGCAAGCATCACACCGAGTGGTAATGCTCAATAATTTCAACGTTTCCGTGTTGCTGTCAGCAGTGGGCTGCTCTTGCGGGCTGCGAGCTGGCCTGACGCGGCAGATTGGGAGTAGCGGGTGGGTGCAGCATTTGCCCTGGTTGACACATCTGTTGCAAAATCCCCAGTCACCTTGATTGCATTGACTGCAGGTCCAAAGGCCCTCGTTGGCAGAGGATTGGCATCGATCACAAAAGAGGCCTTGCTGTAATCTGTGCGCAGGGTTATCACTAGTCATCTCTCTTCCATCTCTCACAAATCGAACGGCTGTCTCAGGAGGACGGGAATATTTGAAAGATTGGAGAACATGATGAGCTCCCTCTGGTCGCTTGGGTCGGTCACCTGGGATTAATCTCGTTCTTACAAATTCAGCTTGCGCGGATGTCCCAAACCCCTTCCACTCTAAGCAACCTCGTCCTGAACGGTAACATCTAAGACACAGATGGAAGTCGCCGTCTTTACACTGAGCACATTTTCCATGTAGGTCGTACTGAATGTTGAGCTTTCCGCAGCGATCGCATGAAATGTTGGGTTCCAGATACGAGTCGGCAGGCGGCACCACCGCATTGGAGCGAGAGGATGATGGTCTCTGGCGTGACTCTGGCGTGGCTGGGCCATTGATTTCGGCCACGACAGAGCTGTTCGTGAGGAAATCGGATACACCATTCCGAGGACGCACAGAGCCAGGAGTGTCGAGCGGGTTTCGTGCTGCTGCGGCAGTCACTCTCGGAGAATCGATGGATGATCTGGTACGAGTGTGACTAGACGCTCGATTTCTTTCACCGATGACGATATTAGGGACGCTTTGGTCGGAAGAAGAATTGGCTCGCCGGGAACGTGTGGTGGCAGAACCGGTCGGCCGCGGTCGTGAGTGCGAGTTCCGGGGACGTTCTGGAATTACATCACTTGCAGATCTCTGAGCAGGACCGAGTGTAACATCAGATGACGAAGCTGGATTAAAAGGTACCGGAGACGTTCTCCTCCGACGGTTGCTCCCTTGCTCAGAAAGCTGCCTCCGGTGGTTTGATGGTCCATGAGGCGTAGGAGGTTCTAACAGAGGCGATCTCGGGTTGGAAGAGCTATTAGTCGACCCTTGCGGTCTCTGCATAGACTGCGAGCGAGCATGGGGCTGCCTCTGTGTTTGCAACAATTCTGGGGCATCCTGCCGTCGCTGGGAGCGTGACCGTAATATATTATGCCTTCGACGATACGCATCAGCAATGCGCTCGCTGAGTTCCTCTTCTTGTCCAGGCTCCAGACTGTCCAGGTCTATATCTTCAAGGAGCCCTTCTTCAAAGATTTGTCGTAGGATCTCCTCCTCCATAGTCTCGGTATCCGATAAGCTCAATAGGGACCGTAGGCTTGACTGGTGTTCGACCCGTCGTGTCCGTTCCGTAGCACTCTCTGGCCGCCCTGCTCCTATTGTTGTTCGAGTGGTCCGTTGCCGCCGCGTTGATCGCTCCTCTTCCCGTCGTCGCCGGGACCGACTGTCTTCTCGTTGGTGGTCGAGCTCCGCAATATCCATCCGGCGATTGATTGAAGATTGCCGCTGCCTATGAGTTGTTGTCGATTGGCTCTGAGAATCCTGTAGGCTCAACTGACGAACCTCCTCCACCATTCTCTGGTCCTCTCCATCAGACCCCGCGGAGCTATCACCGGGAGAAGTGATAGGGGGGAAAACTGACTCCCCATGCTTATATCGTTGTTCAATCTCAGCCCGTTCAGTAGCTGGCTTGGCACGCTCAGGGTTGGCGGTCAGCACCATGTCCAGGAGTGTCGTGACGGTAGCATTTGGACGAGTTTCGCGAACTTTCGCACGACACGAGGGGCAAGTATATCGAGGGGCGGAGGAGGACGATCGACGAGATGCTTGGGTGTAGAACCATTCTTTCAAACAAGATCCACAGAAAGTATGAAGGCAGTCAAGGAGGGTGAGCGGCTGAAAGAGCAAATCTGTGCAAATCTAACATAGATGTTAGTGATCTGGGCAAAAGCGATAGTAGAACAAATCGTTTAGATCGAAGATTAGCATCGAGACCGCGGAATATTAGATTCCATCCGATGCTACAAGGATGCAAGGGGAGATGATATGCGAGAATGCGAGTCTGGAGCCACCCCGCGTTCCTCAAATAACTGGGGTGAACAAAAAGAGAAAAGATGAAAAAAGAAACACACTTACCGAGCAAGTCAGCTCTTTCTCAAGGTCCCCCAGACCAGGACCACCTTGCGGCTCGGTCGACATAGAGAGGCTAAACCACGGAAGTGTGGAAGCGATGGGGAGAGAGACCTGGAAGAAGAGGAACCGTGGGTTGTGGTCGGAAGAGAAACGAGGGTCCCACGGCGATCGGCGAGATCGGGTCCACTCCGGCCGCGTGAAGATGGCGTCGATCACTACGTAGTGTTACAACTTACGGTGTACAATGTATGTAGAATAATTAATGTACAATTCTCTCCATGGCAAATTCAGAGGCTATTAAACGTCAGGTTCAGAATATGTACTGAAGTATCAGGCAGTTTTGTTCATGTCATGATTTCCCAAACTTCTCCTTCTCCCAGAACCAATGGTACAGACTCTTCCATTCGCTGGCCTGGTCCTCCACGTAGTCACCGACCAGCTCCGCTGTCTCGTTGGACGCCATCGCATCGACATCCACTGGGCTTGCATTGGACGTCATGTCAACCGCTATATTACCCGAGTGATTGTCCAGGACTTCTTCTGTGCTGCTCTTCGCTTTCTCAGCGAGGCCTTTCGCACCCTCTCGAGCGGCGTCAGCGTATTCTTCAGCTCGCTCTCGAGCCCTCTCCAGCAGCTCTTCCGGACTTGGATACCGTCGAGTGATAATGAGAAGAAGATAGTATGTTCGTACAATCCCAGCGTATACCGCGTCTTTCGCAAGCATAGTAAAGCCATGAGAAAAGAAACCCTTCAGCACTTCCCCACGAAGACCAGCGTAAAGTTCAGAAACTCCTTCGGTGCGAGCTATGTTAATGACACTGGAGATTATTGATGGCATAAAAGCTGACCCTTCCGGTTCGCCGGCGGTGTTCGTGTTCGCGCGTTTCTTTCCGGGGGCCGCACCAGAGCCAGAGACCTGGGAGCGAGTCTTGGCCATTGAGAACGGATATGTGATCGAAGACGCTGCTGACTTGCTGATGGCAGCTACTAAGAAAGTTACTGCTGCAGAAGGTTTCTCGTTCTTGCTGCGACGACGAATTGCGTATTTAAGCATTTCGTTAAGGAAAAATGTGATCGATGGGTTCAGAGTAAGAATCAGTGATGCCGAATATCCTGACCAGAACCCCCCAATGCCCTTCTCCGCCCGAATTTTTGCTGCTATATCCGACGAACTAGAAGAAGGCCCCGATATTTGTTTTCGAGCCACGATATTCGACAATGGTGTTGTGAAAAGCTTTGAAAATGCTCCTGCCAATACCCCAATCGCCAATTCATCCGGAACAGGCAAAACAGTACGCTTTGACCGACGTTGAGACCCAAACCTTGCGGCAATCCTCTTTTGTCGGAAGAACTCATACGCTAAGAAGAAGAGGAAGGCGTCAAGCACGCTTTTTGCTGTGTCTTGAGTGATGCCAGCATATAAACTGCTGGTCCCCCCTTTAGCGTATATTTTACGCGCGGCATCTAGGATTCCAGTATATTCGTCTTCATCACTTTTCTCTCCGTCTGATCTCTGCTTGCGTTGTTTCTGCGTCTGTAATCTGGCAATGATAAGGCTGAGGGGGTAGGTGGCAAGGTTGGATGCTGCAGCACCGACGGCCCCAGCAACAGCATTGCCTATAGTAGGTAAAGCCGGGCCATTCAGAGCAGCTTGTTTCCAATCCTCTGTCGGCGGTGTGTCTTCGTACTTCAAGTATAGCTGGTAGGAATCCTAGACAATTCCAGTGTCAGACAGGCTTAGGGTGAAACTAAAGCGTTCGGGTGCCATACCAGCTCGTAGTCGTCTTGGGACATTTTGCCAGTATATTACGTGCCTTTTCGCTTGCGACAACACTTGTAGGATGGAAGAAGCGAAGAAGCGGAGAGGAGAAGAGCGAATTCGCCCTGTCGGCTGGCCTTGGAATCCGGGGTCGAGAGCCCGGAACCCGATAACGTCATTTGGTCCGTGCTGACAGAGGTGCATGTGATAGGTATCCCAAACGTCACTTCTGGGAAAATAGTGACAGCCCATTTTCCATCGCTTGAAGCTATTCCAGGAAATCTGGGAGTCTAAGCCGATGACCGATCGCGCTTGGTGCAGTTTTTTCTTCACCACGGGACCGTCGCTCACAAGCATCAAACGGGACGGGCGAAGATTAATGGCGAAGATTCGGGCGTTCCTCTCTTCTTCCCTGAGAGACTTTAAAAAAAGGCACCGAGGCACCTGTGGCCTATTTGTTATCTTCGAAGAGACTCAATTCATTTGGTTCACAGTGTGGCGTCTTTGCCATTTCCTTCTTCGTGACTCACCAGTATCGTTTATTACTCTACGGCGAAGCATCATCTTACTGGAAAACGAGATGTAAATCGGCATGTCTTGTCTATTTCACGCTCCCACGAAGTTCTATCGACATTTATGAGAGCCAGCTTCTCACCAAGCGTGGTGTCTCGTCTAGTAAGTGATAGCATCTGATGAACAGCCAGATAAACCCCAAGAAACCCAAAGGGAAAAACAAAGCGTCATTCCTCATCCCGAGGTGTAGGAGATAGTAAATCCAGTGCAATAGAAGTGAAACATGAAGCACGGTGCACAAATACAAAACAGAAAGCGAGCAAATTAAGTCATAAAGTCGCCAAATAATAGGTATGACAAACCTGAATGATGTGGATCAACCAAATATGCATAATAGAATCAACCGACAACAACAAAACGCGGGATTAAAAACCGAGGAAAAGGCAAAATAAATATAAAAGAGAGCATGTTATTGTAATTCCCTTGAAACATTTCGGTAACCCCCTAAGACACCATCACCAGTATCCTTAAAACTTGCGTAGAATAGACCTCCTAAATCGGGGTATCGTGCCGTGCTGAGCTGAATCATAGGTCGTTCGTTATTCGTAGAGTCGTTTCGCCGCCGTTCTCTCTCCTTTTTTCCCCCTCTCGTTTTCTTGGTTTGTTTTGGGGGGCTTCGTTCTATGAGGGATCTACCGTTCTCCCCATGCTATCACTTTGGTAGACAAATGCCTGAACATCGTGTTGGGTCGGGGTAAAATGACGCTCAGCGGCGACGTTTCGAGGGGGCAGAAACGCCTTCGGCCTGGTTTTCCTGGCGTCCACGCTTCCTGGTAGCAGGAGTGTTGGAGTTCTGCTGCGAAACATGGGATGGAGTTGCAGGGTTTGCAAACTCGCCATACTGATTCGACTGAAGGTTCATGTATAACTCTGATACTCCGTTCCGCTGGTTGCCCTGAAGCTGGTGCTGCGGCCACTGCTGGATAGAGTTATGGCTGACACCCAGCATCTGAGAAGCCTGAGTGTTCTGGAAGTTGTTGTACGGAGACAACATGCTGGGATCGAAATCGTTGCCCACCGGCTGGGTGCGCGAATACATAGCAGTATTCAAAGATTGTTGGGCTAGCGAAGGCGTACCAGGGACTGGATACTGGCCACCTCTAAAGTTTTGCATTTGTTGGTGCGCATATTGTGCTGGATATCTAGATGCGTTGGGGTTGTTTCCCATGTAGTGTGCGGCGTTCACAGCATGTTCCAAGGGAGCTGCACGTGGAGCTGGAGCCAGAGGACGGTTTGCATTCACAGCAAGCTGTGGTTGTAATCCACTATTGTGGGTTACTACTGCGTTCGTTGACTGGGTGGTCTTTTGATTGGGTGAAATAGTTTTCGACCGTGCTTTTGGCTTCGTGGTATCTTGATCTTGAAATTGCTTGCCGAGCTTCATCAAGTTTGCCTTATCCTTATTGAGCCGCTGGTTGGAGATGACACGGTGTCGCGAGCCTATGGGGTCGTCGATGAACTGGTGAATGAAGTCTACTCGCAGGAGATGCTTGCAAATTGTCTTATGCAAGTCAACAGCTTCCATGATCGCAGCCATCCGGCTAGCAAACGAACCGATGTTCCCCTTTTGTGGCTTGCCAGTAAAAGCGCCACGTGTTTCCCGTGTGATCGCAGCTTCCTGTTGAATCCTTGTCAGTACAATCCCAGTAAATACTCTTCATCGACTTACCAAGACTTCCCAGCAAGCTAACTCGACACTTCTAGGGTCAGGACCGTTGGATTTGAAGGGCTTCTTCTGGCCGTCGTTGTCCATGGCGTTATCCAAAGACCAGAAAAGTTCGATTAATCTTTTGACGAACGCCCGTTTTTGCGCAACGGTTCGAGGGACAGTGGAGTCGTATGCAGGTGTCCTACTTTTAACCTTGAGACTTTCTCGTGCTTCCTCGAGTGAAGTAAAATGAGTTGAGGTGGAGTCTTCATCAGTAGCTTCAAGCGACTCAGAAACTAAGCTCTGATAAAGTTCAGGACGATCTGCGAAACCATCGTCAGTGCCCCTGGAATTAGCGTTCAGAGGTTTCAGGTTATTGTCGCCATGCACAACTGATGCTCCAAATGCGCCTACATCGCTAGCAGATTCATCGGAATGGTTCGAGAACGGGTTGGAAGCCATCTGCTTGTTGTCTCCATCCGTGCTTGATTCTGCAATTGCGTCTCCCAGACTGGGGGAAGTGTGAGACTGATTGACAGTCGAACTGTTGTCACCTTTCCCTGCTGTATTCTCCTCCAGCTGTATTTCCAATTGGTTCTCGATGTGCTGCTTGGGGGCGTCAGTCTGGTCAAGAGCCTTGCCCGGGAAGACATCAGCCTGAGGGCTTACAAGAGAGGAATCCATTTCACCCTGGATACCAGAAGCCATTGTGACCGGTGCCATTGCTAGGCTTGTATGGTGAGGGTCTTGTGCAAGCTCATAGCTTGCAGGGCTGTCTGGAGTGTCGTGAATAGTCGACATATTCAAAGAGTCATGGCCCTCTGCGCTCCAAGCACTAGGGTCATCGGAGCTGAACAGTTCATCACCGTAAAAGGGAAGAGTTTCGGCGCTTTCCTGTACCATAGATTCAAAGGTTTGGTGATCCACGTCGTTTTCTGAATGGTTGCTGGTATGATCAAGGTGACTGTTTTGAGAGGGTATCGAAGGACGGTTGAGGTCCACTTCTCCCGTAGCTTTTCTGGAGAGGCTTAGTTTGGGGTCGATACCGGCAGAATTGTTATTAGGGAGCGGCTGGTTAGCATCATCGATGCTTGGGGGCAGAGAAAGGAATAAGTTGTCAGTCATGGAAGATGGATTGCTGGCTTCCCTAAAGCTCTGCAAAGTCTCGAGGGACTGTGTAGGCGAGCCAGTCGTGGCAAACCCTTGAGACTCGGCCCTTTCGTGGGACACAATGGGAGGTGCTGGAGACGAGGATGAAAGGCCAGGGTGCATAGGCCAAGGGAGATGGAGCGGGCCAATGCGAGTAGCAGAGCCTGCCTTGCCCTGAACAGTGCTCGTCTTGTGATAAGCCATAAGAGTGAGGGTCAAGGGAATTCCGATTGGACAATTCCAGAATGAAATGCACGAACGATATCTTGATGATAGATGGATGGATATAACGACGGATACGAGAGGTCTAGTGTTGGGAATTGAGAAGTAGTTGATGAAGAGGGAAAAGATGGAGAGAATGAGAAAGATGAAGAGAAGGAGGAAGATGGGGATGAAGAGACAAAAGCAGGGTAGGTGCAGAAACTGACAGAATTTATAAAAAGTAGCGAATTCAGACGGCGGCCATGAGTAGAGCTGACCCTTCACTATCAACTGTCAACAGTGAACAGGTCAACATCATTCACTGACTTGAGGAAGAGGCAGCCGTATAGGATCATAGTACAAGAACCAATTATGTGACAAGCATCGCTGATAGGCTTCCCACTGTTCAAATTTTCAGCCAAGTGAAGGTTGTAGTCATGGGAGGGCCAGTCTCATTCACAGCCTCATGCACCAGCGTTTCGAACAATGGCCACCGGTTGTCCAAAATGGGCCTCAATAAAGACTGGCCATTGTCAACTTGTGAACACAATCTTATTGTGGAGCCTGATTGGCACAAACAATAGGAATCCTCTCAACGTTGATATTGTCTCGGGCTCCGTAGTGCCCATGGGTACCAGCGCATTTTGCGTTCGATTATTTCCAAGCTTCCCAATGGATTGAGAAACGTAGTTGGAGGCGGTGATAGGCATGTTCGTTTTGGCTTCCGAAATTTGGAAACTGTAACCATATACCAATACAATTCACCTTCGCCTTTGCCCGTGTTGGCGAACTCATACCGAAGAGAGTAAAAAAATGACAGTCCCAGTCAAGCTACCACGGAGACACTGTATTTCAAACCCCATGGGTCGAAAGGAACCTAGCCCAGCTTGCTCTATTTCCCCATATTGCCAGTCACCTGATATCGACAGCTGAGACGAAAGGGGTTGGGACCATGTTCTTATCACAAGCTTTCAAGGAAGGAGCCAGATATCCAACGAACTATCGCCCCTGGCAGCTGGAAGGTCTTGGTTCATGTCATCCGCATGCTCTTTGTAGTCCTTCTGTCCAGAAGTTGTCGCCATAATGTTGCCCATTGGATGCAGGATGGTACTACTTAGCGTGTCTACAGTGTTTTGTTCAGTACGTATTATTCCAGTCCGCGGAATTTGGGCTTACCATCATGAAATTTCCACTGCCAGGTTGGGTCCTGTGGCCCAGCACTGTGTGTGGGATCTTGCCATAGTCTCATCGTGCCGTCTTTACCACCAGCCCAGATACCATGTTCGGTTCCATTTCCCGTTGAAACCAAGTCTATCTTCATCCGCTGGTTCGTAAAGGCATTGCGTCCTTGAAGCCACCCAAGAAGCCGACCGGTAACTCGGATATCATATATCAGCACGCCACCGCTCTTGCGTTCAGCGATATAGAGATATCGTCCGCAGGGGCTCCAGAGAAGTTGAGTGACCCCACTTCCACCAATATGACGATCTGCTTCCGTTTTGGAAATATTGAAGGTACCCAGAGATTGCCCAGTCCCATTCGAGTCATAGAGACCAATACTTCGCGAAAATGTACCAGCCGCAAGGATGCCATCTCCAGTTGGACACAGCGCCATCGCAGAAACTATTCCCTTCATCCCGACGCCTCCTCCCACCGATTGTTTCCGCTTGCTCGGTATTGTGGGCATCCAAGAAATTGGACCCTCGTTGCCGGGGCGAGATACGTCAAACAGACATATGAGACTATCCGACCCAGTGAGGAACTGGGTACCACCTAAGGTAGGGGGGTAAATAATACAATGCGGTGTTATAAAAGCCTCAGTGGTCGGGTTCACGAGGGAATAAGTTGCAAGTGACGTTGGAGTTAGTGCAGAGGCCAATCGAATTGGGTGGTCTCTGGTGGACGACAAGAAGAGAGCGGAAGATGGATCCTGGAGGGAATATAAAGGATAGAAAGCGGATGCATATGTTGGCTCTCCAGATGGCAAAACAGAATAGGGAATCAGTCTATGGGGAGATTGCCTTTCTTCGAGAAGGTCGGGGGGTCTAGATACGGCTTGTCAGATTATCAAGCCTTAATTTCAAAGAATGAATACACTGACACAATATATGTTGTCATGCGATGGTCAGACGAATCTGTTAGGATTGTAGTACCATCCGGTGACCTGTCAAAAAGCAGTGTCTCAGTAAGTGTATTAAATGGAACAGAAAATAATCAAAGCTTGTGTGGGAATGCGAATGCAAATGCAGTTAAAAATATCAGGGTGTTCTTGTGTTGTAGGAACTCAAAAGAACTCGGTTTAAGCTCACCACTCAGCACTCTTGAAATAACAGCATAAGTCATCGGTGCCCAGCTCACGCTTTACTTCGCTACCCTGGAGGTTTGGGCCCTCGACTTCTCGTCTTGGAAACTTTTGGCCTGAAGATGAAAGCTGCGCGAAGCCAGACTGGGTTGAAGCTAAGCATATAGGTTCATAACTAGTGAGTTTATCCGCCGGCATGGTGCTTCACTGCCTGCATTGGCTAAGGGTGGGCAAGGGCTTGGTGGTGAGGTTCATCAGGCAGAGACGGAAGTGTGGTGGAAACGCGAAGACGATTATGAATGCTCAATTGATCCGGTATTTAAGCTTTAAACAAAGCAGGACCTATAAGCATTCAAGTGACGGTGTCTATACTTCTGAGTCGTAGACTCGGCCAGGTTCGGCGGCTTCTGAGTACGAGCAAACAAAGGAACAGTGTCTCTCTGATCATCCCTGGGGGAGTCAGATCGAATACTTATATTCTGCTACTGGGAAGGAATTTTGAACAACATCTACCCCGACCAGACGTTGAGATTTGATATCGACAAGCTCATGATGTCGTTGGTTAGCGCCGGCAGAATTTTCCGCATTTGTGCGTTAGTCGCGCCGGGGCCGGAGAAACCACAGCTTGGCTGGGGTCAAGCTAAACACCGCTGGGCAACAGGCGGTTTCCTTTGGTGGAACGCAGAGTGCTGGGCAATATTTTTCAACGTCGGTTGGTTCTTTGTTTCGAGCCAGTGGCGCAAACAGCCTGTGCAGGGAGCTGTCTCGATACGGACGATTCCACGCGCACTCTGCTTTATTAAGGAAGGGTCTGCTGAGCCTTTCAAGAATGTTTTCTTCAAAACCCGCAACTCCCTCAACCGGGCTTTCCATCAACACGAATTCCGCCAATTCTCTCTTGTAAGCGTCCTCAATCAAATCTCTAATTTTCCCCTTCGTGATTTGTCTAACATCACTTTCCATCGACTAGTGGTGGCAATTCTAATCAAGCGACGAACACTACAAGTACGCCTGGCTCCACAGGTGCCTCTGGAGGGCTTTTCGGGACGGCCGCGCAGCAACCCAAGCCAGCTGGCAGCTTATTTGGAAACACTGGGGCCACAAATACACAGCAATCTCAATCTTCTGGGTCCAACATGTTTTCAGGGTTGGGTGGTCAGCAAAACAGCACATCGGGTGGTGGATTATTCGGCAACACCACAGCGAATACCACACAACAACAGTCCGGTGGCCTTTTCTCTGGCGCCGGAGGCGCCAGTAATACCACAACACAAACTGGTAACACGGGAGGATTATTCGGAAACACAGGAGCGGCATCCACAAGTCAAGCTCAGTCTAAGCCCTTCAGTCTAGGCGGCTCTACAAGTGGTGGTATCTTGTAAGTTTATACGTAAACCATGCACGCGAGTGATTCAGGCTAACGTTCAAATTAGTGGTGGTGCAGCCTCGAATGCCGGTCAACAACAACAGCAGCAGCAGCCTGCAAAACCAACACTCTCGCTTTTCGGAAACCAGAATTCTACCGCACAACAACCCGCACAGCAGACAACAACAACCACGCCCGGGGCTGGAACAGTAATCCCCGGTGTTAAGGTTGATATTAGCAATCTTCTACCCACCACGAAGTACGAAAGCTGCGCCGATGAGGTTAAGGCAGAGCTAGAGCGATTCGATACTTTTGTGCTCAACCAAATAAACATGTGCAATGAAGTTGCCAATCTGGTTCCCTCCGTGGCGGCCCAAGGCGGTACTATCCCTAATGATGTGGAATATGTTCAGGGCAAACTGGAAACAATGCAGCATGCGTTGGAAAATGACGCCAGCGATATTGATCAGCTACGTACCCTGGTTACCCGAGACGCAGCCGAAGCCCAGGTTGCATTCCGTGCTATCGATACCCTTAAACTTCCGCTGCAGTACCAGTCGACCGGGGGCTCTGGATGGTGGTCCGCTCAAGATCAGAAGGTATCGGACCCACAATTACTACGCTCAACGCGGAAAAATACGCTCGCACTCCCCGATGATGTCGAAGGTGACCCATCCGCAAGTAGCATCAATGGAGTTCCAGTGAACCTGGTAGAGTATTTCTCCCAACGATCTGACGAGATGGGCATTGTTCTGGAGCGGTATACGCGAAACTTGAAGGAGATCGAAGACCACCTCCATGGGGTTGAATCAACTCTAGAAAGACAGATCCATGACTTCACAACTTCTCGGAATCGCGATAGCACAGGAGGTGGTGCACCGAAATCAATCCTCAACGACCTCGCCGCCGTTCTGGCCGATGTCGAGACGGGTATCCTAGGTGTTGCCAGCCGCCTAGGTACAGTTACCGAGCAAGCGCAGGAAGTTGTGCTTGGTGCGCCGTCTGGTCTAAGGCATGTTTAACATCGAATAGGCTGCATTTAGTTGAGTCCCTTCTGTATTTTATGATGGCGTATGAATCTGGATATTAATGTCAAGGAACGGCAAGCCATATATGCCTTATTGTGGCTTTGGATATGGTGTTAATCTTATAGAGTAAACAGTGATATATACCTCATGCCTTGGCAATTTTCTTGTCATCTTTCACATCTTTTGCATGCAAACAGCCCAATCGTCTTCAATGTTAAGGTTCTCGATTTCCTATTGTGGCGGGGTCGACTTTAGATCCAAAGCGAAACTATCACCCATCTAAAAACCCAAAATAAATTTCCTACGAAGTTAGCTTTTCAACTAAGAGCGTTTACTATTAACGCCTCGCGCAATAGTGTTTAGTACCTGCCATTTCTAAAACTTCATTTTCCCATGTGCGCGGAATGATTTCTTTAAAGAAACCTCCCAATGGATCCATTATTGCTTGACTATGCCCGTCTCCATGGAATTGCTAGTGATTATACTGCAGTTGATCTACACGCACTCATCGATGACACCCTCAAATATGGCCCTAAAGGCGAACCGCCGCTTCAGCACACCGAGTTAAAATGTCATAATCGCCTGAACACTGCTCGTACGCTGCTCGAAAGCAATATCCGGAGGGAGAAGCTCTGTCTCTCTAAAGAAGGAGCTCGTTTCCTAACCGCACTTATCCGCGACAATCAGGCACAAAGTTTAGTTATCAACTGGGATGACCTTTTACCAAACTTCCATCGCGTTGATGATACCAAAATTGATCCGCCTATTTTCTCCCTAGAGAGTGAAAGCGATGTCAGGTTATCGAAAAAGCCATTGTGGTACTCCGCTCATGACATTGAGTTGGAACTGTTCAATACGTCCCAAGAACTAGCCAACGCTCCGAATCCTCTTGCAAGTCTGCAAATGAATAAGAATTCGTTGATGGATAAGGTCAAGAGGGACAAGCTAAAGTGCTCAAAAGAATCGTTCTCGCTCATACAGAGTGTTAGAGACGATTCTGGACCGTCTGTCCTAGAATTTGAAGATGTCCTAGGAAGTATCTTGGAGGTGAGCTGCGTATTTTTTGTGAGGATATATTGTCTGATATATTGCTAATACCTTTTGGTTCCCTAAAGGAGATTCATACTAAGTCAACAACCCCCATTCTCCGTCCATTAAGCGCTGATTGCCTCACTTCAAGCCCAACGCCTATGTTCGACGAACACATGCTACCAACCCCAGTTTCTCTAGCTTCGAATGGGCTAGAAGTACTTCGTCATCATTCTGCACCTTCTGGGTTAGAATGCGAGTATATAATTAACAAAACCCGATACTCTTTAGTACCGAATAGAGAGAGCCAATGTGACAGCATTGGATTAAGTGAAGAAGATGACTCAACTCATGATACCCCCAAGATAGATATCGAATATTCCTCCAAAACAGGATTTTCAAGCTTGGGGGCATATAATGAAGAAAATAATTCAATGGTTATCGCAACACTTGAACCAAGCAGCTCTTCATTGACTAAATCCAACCCTTCAGATGAACACGATACCTGCAACTCAAACACAAGGTTGAACAACAGGACCTCTGCGACGACATCTGTCAAAGTGCCGTTCTCAGAATACATGAAGGAGACTGAGGGAAGAAGGGATGTAAAGTTACAGCATACACAGCTGTACTTGGGGACGAGCTCGGGGAACGAGCTTTCCAGAGAAGAACCGGAAAGCCTCTCCAGGCATGTGGCATTTACCGTGACAAAACGGCCCCAGGAAGTTAGAGCAGGCCCACAGAACCAATATACATTAGAACTGCATGGAGTCCATGACACCAAAACACCTGTTCTGCAATCACGACGCGTAACTCTGGGCTCCTTATCATCGTATATGGAGACAAGGGGAAGGGGCAACAAAAGGCAGATACCTGCGAAAAGTCCTTACTTTCTTGGTGAGGCATCTCGAGGCCCTGAACAACAAAATAATTACCTTGATCCTAGTTTCAAAGAACGGCAGCAGCAAAATGTTGCTGCTTCCAGTTCTCTGCGAACGCCTCCGATTCCTACCCTTCAGGCACCCCGGTATCCCACTCAGCATGATGGTCTAGCTCTCTTTATATCAACTAGGCTGCTGAAAACTCACCTGCAACTTATACAATGTCTTGAGGGATCGGATCACCCTCCACATTTCATTTACCGAGACTATGAGAATGGCTCATCAAGATGTCAGCCCAAACAACGACCAAAAGACTCATCCTCCCAACATTTCCAGACAGTATCAATCCATTCACCAGATGAAGCAGATATAATACTGTCACCCAGGACTGGAATTATCCTAACAACTTCACAAGCAACCATGCAACTATACCTTCCCGGGCACAAATCCACCTCCATCCAGCCCAATATTTCCCAAATCAAAGCCGTAAACTCCCCACTCCGTGAGTCCATTTATCGACTCTCCACAAGATATCAGCAGTTATACGTATTTATATCGCACAGCACCGAACAATCACAACGCTCCAAACCTCGAGTTTCAAACCCCCAGCTCTCAGCAAATAAAAGCCTCCTTGACTCCCTAACATCCTTATCTGCATTCTGTACCTCATTGTCCGAGTACTCGTCCATAACTCCGCTTATGATACCCTCTGTCCCAGAGTCAGCCGCTTCATGGATCTTGGCCCTTGCCCATAAGCATATTTGTCAACTTCCACCTCAGCGGCCCAATTCACTCTCTCAGTACACGATTGCGTTTACGCCCGTAAACCCGAAGCCACAGCTCGGGGCTTTGCTGGAAAATCCGGGAGAGAGTGTTTGGGAGCTTTTCCTTCGGCGGATGGGACTGAATCCATATGCTGCACATGTTGTGCTTGCTGTTCTGAGGAGGGACGGCGAGTATGTGGCCAATGGCAGTGGATTTCATGAGTCGAGGGTCCAGCAAACGGGTGTTGGATATCTCTCTAGATTTGTAGAGATGACACCGGAAGGCCGAAAAGCACTATTCGGGGGTTTACTCGGGGAGAGAGTTCTGAAGCGAGTTGATTCACTTGTTGAGAGGGACTGGCAGTGCGATTGGGCCCTAAACTTCGACGATGGGATTGAATAAATAGGTGGATGAAGTGTGTTGCTGGCTGGTCCATGGAGCTACCGGCAGATCGTTACAAAGTATGCGTGTAAGAGAGGAGATATCTGATGCTATTACTTATGCTCGTCAAGCCAACAGGTGAGGCTTGTATGAGCTATATTTAGAAATACAGCAAATGGTATGCAAAACAATCATTTCACGCTTTCGGCAATAAATGCAAGAAACAATATCCCAAGAGTATGAGGGAAACAATTAATGTTTCTCTGTTGTCATCCAGGCACGTTTTCTAGTTTTTTATAGGGGGTTGCAACATAGAGGATCATGATTTTGTCAAAAGGTATAATACAAGGAGTCGGTTTCGGACAATCCGGCCCGAGAGGCAAGACGAACAAGAACCTCGCGTTAAATCCGATTCATGGTCTTCTTTACTCGTTGATTTTGGCAAGGATCCTAATTGTTAATGTTAGAATTGCTGTGACTGTCAGGGAATGGGTGAAAGGGCATACTCAGAGTCCCGGAAAAGGGTGTACTCCTCCTCACCGATCTTGAGGGGGCTGCCACCGAACTAAGGACAGAAAAAAATCCCGATTAGCATCTAGTCCCTTGATTGTATATATGTACGATAATCCTCAAATATCCTAGCTCGTTCAATTCGAGGTCACAGGGGCAAAACATACCTGGGGGATCAGAACGCGGTCACCAGCACTGACGCCCATAGGGACGCGCTGGCCGTTGCGGTCAACGGCACCGGGGCCAACAGCGAGAACCTTAGCCTCGTTCTGCTCCTTGACGCTGCTCTCGGGGAGGAAGATGCCGGAGGCGGTCTTAGCCTCGGGCTTGACGCGCTGGACGAGGACGCGGTCCAGGAGAGGAGCAAGGTTCTTGACACTGCGGAGGAAAGACTAGCAAATTCAAGGAGTATTAGAAATTCGACCTCTCATTCAGCGAGCTAGAAGCCGCAAGCCGCCTTTGCAGGGGTTGGCGCTCAGCCGAAAAAGTTTTGACGGCCACGAATTTCGCATTAGGGTATTATCGGAACAACGTACCATGGTGAGTTATGCGAAATAGGTATTAAGCACTGGAAATGACTTAAAAGGCGAGAAGGAGTAGGCGTAGATGGATAGGAAGATTGAGACGTGGAAGCAAAAGGGAAGAAAAGCGCAAGTCGGCAAGCTGGGGAAGAAGATCCGATCTGGACTCGCGAGAAATTTCCAGAATGCCAAGACCTCCAGCTCTCTCCACGACCTGCCGAGGGTATCCTTTCGAGCTCTCAACTCCGTCGGGTCAACAGTCAATTATCCGTGTTAAAAATAGGCACTCGGATTAAAAGTTGGTCGACTGAAGAACTTTTCCTGGCGGGATTTTATCTGATCAAACTCTCCTACCCATTCAACAACAATGCCGCCGTGTACTATGAACCAAAGCTTACTGCAGCTGCGGAAGCTCCTTACTGCCGAAAGCGCAGTTACTCAGGCATCAACCTATTCATGCTAGGTTCGAGCGAGGTTCGATAATGCGGGAAGTTGGGTATCTCAGGGAGTTATATTCTCATTCAAGGTTATTACAGGTTATTTCATGACCAATTCCTCCGTTTCATGGCTTTTAATGGTTGTACTACCATCTTCTTCCCCGTCCTCGACCTCCACCTCCACCATAACCACCTCCGTAACCCATTTGGCCCTGACCACCACCTTGACCGCCGAATCCACCTTGAGCTTGTTGCCCGCCACCTGCACCGGGTTGCCCACCCATCATTGCCTGCGCATGTTGCATGAAAGACATGGGGTCCATGGAGGCAGGGTCTAGCCCTTGCGACATCATCGATGTCAGCATTCCTTGCATCATGTCCGGGTTCATATCTGGCATCCCTGGTATTCCGGGCATCGGAGGCGGTGCATTTGTAGTGGGAGGTCCAGCTCCCGGCTGCGCGCCGGGCATTGGGGGAAGTCCCATGGTTAGGAAGCTCTGCATATCATCCAGCTGTCTCTTCTGATCTCCCACTTCCTTCCGTAGCTCTTGCTGCTTCAAAACATAACTTGCCCAGGTAAACTCGTCAAATCCGTAGTTGAAATAGTCTGTCAAATCCGTCCCTGGTCGTCTCCAAGGCTTATCATCCTCGGGGAAATCAACATCCATATCAGTGGACAGGACCGGCTTTCCTGTAGCAGGATGGATAGGGTTCGCATGGACGTCAATTGTGGATGCGTGTACTGGCGGGTATTCCGAGCCTGGTTTTTGTGAAACAGGTCGTGTTACAGAAGGCACTGACGATGTGGTGTCAACTTTGGGTGTTAATGAAGGTGTCTGAGATTTTGGGGCGGCAGAAGAATCGGTGGATGTGGACCGTTGAGTGTCAGCTTTCAATGTAGTATGGCGAGGATGGGGACTGCGCAATTTTTAGCAGATGCGATTGTTATGAGAAAGGATTGACCTCACGCTTCTGGAGGAGGCGCATCTGGAGGAGCCTCTGTGATGATATTGAAATCGTCCTAGAGTAGCTAATTAGCCAGATCCACTTCGAAAGACTCAGATGCTGTGCACCTCATCATCTTCCTCTTCTACCTCCTCCTCTTCCTCGCCCTCATTCGAGTCGTTCATCGGAGCGTCGGTCGAGGGTCTTCCAGGATCCCGGGATTGAGTGACCGGCACCGCATCGGCGGGATCATAGAGATCATCGTCATCATCCTCCATACTGCGCGGTCTTTCAAGAATTTGGTTGGATTGAATGGAGAGAGGAGATCGAAAACGTCGAAGCTCTGCTCCTTGTTACACTGGTCCTGTGGAGATACTTTGGAGTTTGCTTTGTTTGCTTCTTCCGATCGGCTTTGTCAAGTACGAGCATATCCAGGAGAGGGTTACGACCAAAGAAATGAAAAAATTATTGGAAAGAAGGTGATCGTTAAACTGGCAAATAGAGAAGACTTTTCATATCCATAGTCTTTGTCTAGTCTCGAATGTATGGCTCCCATATGGTAAAGATTCTAATGCACTGGGTCACGTGCCGTCCTCCACTCCACTGCGGTTAAATGCGATAAGCTCAACTCGAGCTGTTCAACGTCTACATCGATATATGTTCGAGTGCGCTTCCAGTGCTCCAAGATGCCGCCGTCCGAACCCCCAAGCCACAGCTCGACTCCTCGGTCATTTACAAGCCAAACTGCTTCTGCGGAAGATCTCCTCAAATCACAAACGGTTGGTCTTGTTCATCTTTCCGATTTCCGCAAACGCCGCGCGGAAGTTCTAGAGCAGAAAGAGCGCGAGGCGCATGATAAGTCGCTGGGCAGATTTGCCTCCGGTAATTCAAGAAGCGCGACTCCCTCAGCGGGCGATGTAACTGACGGGTAAGTAACGCCAACTATAATTTGATCCAGATTTCTAGCTAATCGCAACCGATAGGAATTCAACATCACGAAGCGAAGGGCCTCCCAAGAAGAAGAAAAAGAAACAACTTGCAAAGAGCAAACTATCGTTTGGAAATGATGATGAAGAGGGAGATGAGGAAGTGTTCCAGAAATCAAAGCCGAAGGCTGCGGAGGTCTCGACTCCGGCCGAACTAGCTGCCTCGCGGTCTGGCACCAATACACCTTTTGATGAGAGCTCTGCGCCGTCATCTCGTCGCATTACACCAAATCCTAATGCTCCCCCGCCTCCGAAGGCGCTCACGAAAGCCTCGTTGAAAGCCGAGGCAGAGGCTCGAGATGCCCTCCGAAAAGAGTTTTTGGTGATGCAGGATTCCGTTAAGAATACCGAGATTTTGGTCCCTTTTGTCTTTTACGATGGAACGAATATACCCGCGGGAACAGCCAAAGTTAAGAAGGGGGACCAAGTCTGGTTGCTTCTGGATCGGTGTCGAAAAGTTGGAGCTGAACTGGGCGTCAGTGGTACCAGCGGCGCATCGAAAGGCCGAAAGTACAATCGCCGTGAGTGGGCGAGAATAAGTGTGGATGACTTGATGCTCGTAAAGGGAGAAATCATTATTCCGCATGTATGTTTTTTTTTCTTCCGTATGCCTATGGCCCCTCGCTAACAGTCACTTCTAGCACTACGAACTATACTATTTCATTGCCAACAGTGTTCCCAGTTTTTCCAACAGCGGGGGGCTGCTGTTCGATTATTCTAACAAGCCTCCACGCGCTCCTCCAACCGATGACCCTTTGTACCGGCCGAGTAACGACGAGCTCGAGGGAGGCGACAGAGATCCCGCACTAACAAAGGTAGTAGATAGACGGTGGTACGAGCGAAATAAACACATCTTCCCGGCAAGTCTATGGCGGGAGTACGAACCGGGTGCGGAGTTTGAGGAGAAGATGCGTACGACGAGACGTGATGCTTCGGGGAACACGTTTTTCTTCTGATTCTGCTGTTCCGATGGAAATCATTGCTACATAGACAGGTGCGTTGGAGCTAAAAGAGCTTTATATACTTTTTAAGATACCCAGTCCAATGAAATAAAATCTCACATAACCGGTTTCGTCATCTGTTTATTATTTTGTGCTCGGTTTTACGGAACTCACGTAGCATTGTAATGAAGCTGCCGGCGTACGCAGTCCAGTAGCTCGAGACAGCACCTACCTTCCCCGTCATTTCCATCCTATCTTCCTAAATGATCTCACGAAATGCTCGCCGACATTCTCATAATCAGCCTCAACTTGACCAGCGACGGTAAAGATGGATTTCTACCTCCGCTGCAACTCTCTCAGCTGTCGAGGGTCTTTAAAGGAGCGAGCGGTTGTTACTACATGCTCGTAAGTATCATATGTTGCATGGCCTCCAGTTCTTTAAACTTAGCGAAAATCCGGAACTGACCTCCCAGACATATTTTCTGTCTTCAGTGTGCTGAAGCTCTTGGGCTCTCGCGTCCCACCGGAGGCGAACGTCGCTGTCCCGCATGTGATATGACCCTTATCAACCCAGACGATGCCGTATCGACTGTTCTTAATCCGACAGAGGACTACAAAACAAGCGTGCTTAGTGGCCTCGATCCAAATACGATAATGGAATGTACTGGGCGAGCTTTACAATTTTGGTCCTATCAAACGACTCAAGAAATGTGTGCTTCAATTCACTCATGTGTTTACAAGAAGCAAGGCTGATGAACTACCAAGCTTCTACCAGGAATTCCTAGGAAAGACATTGACAGACAAATACACAAACTTGAATTCTCAGATGGACAAAGTAATTCATAACGCCAACAAAGAGATTTCAACGTTACAGACGAGACTTATTGGTTTGTGCAATTTCCACCCGAGCTGAGCATTTATATATTGTCTAACGATATGGCCCCAGACATGCAAACGGCACAAGAACAACTCCGCAAAAAGAATCAAGAGCTTGCTGATATGTATCGTGAGAAATGCAAGAAGTTCACTCAAATCACTCACTTATACAACCTCCTCAAATCTCGAGCCATGAGATCTCAAATGCAAAATGCTGCCGCTTCCCAGGCATTCAACGATCTGGAAATATCGCGTAATGGTCCAGCAAGCTTAGTGGCGCAAGCTCACAGTGCACAGGCACCTCCACAAACTCCGTCAGCGTTCCAACAGAGGACAAATCCTGTGGATCTGGATGGAGTAGAACAACTTCATCGACACCAGCGGAGCGGTACCGGGAGTTCGAAGGGAACAAAGAAAAAGTCTATTCCGACAGCTATGGCCCCTCCAAGCCGTCCATCCATTGGCATGAGGAGGGGTGCGTCCATAATTTTCATTTTATGCGAATATACTAACGCGGTCTAGGAGAACCCCCAAATGCTACCCCCCAGCATCGCACACGACTTGCGGGTGCCTCACGTCCTTCCACATCAACCGGGTTGTCCCAATTGCCGAATGAAAATATAATGCTAGAGCGTTTTCATGCTGAGCGACCACCCACTGTGACTGAAGGGTTTATGAACGATCATCATCACCACTCTAGTCGCCGGCAAACCTTAAACGTCCAGACCGGCAGATCTCCAGACGAGACGCCGGGAATAAGATCGTTCTTCAATACCACAATGGGTTAATACTATGGAAATCGGACATAGTGTCGTATAATAGAATTGCACGACCCTATCATATTGATTTAATGGTAAATTGGGTGAGTGGTTAGCATTGCGGGAACTATATATGGTCTACGCGACAGAGCATATCATTCAAAAACATGTATTAGTGAGCCCGTATATTAGCCACAATGACCCTCTAGATATAATGATATTCGCAGAAATATCTTAAAGATCATAGGATACGTCAACTTAGTGTGGTTTTGTCCTTACCTATATTCAATCGAGGTTACCAACTGCATACCTAGGTAGTGGACTACAGATCGCGCAAACCTTATGAAAACAAACAACGCAGAAAAACTATAGAAGAAAGAAGAAAAACACCCCCAACTCTGACAACAAATGCTTTAAGCTAAAGTCTCTCCGGCGCCCGCTGTCTATATACATCGAAATCTACTCTCCACCGGACAACTATGTAGGGTTAGTCATGGGCTCACGTTTCTCGGACGGACGGAAGCACAGAAAACTCCCACCACCATCCGCCAGCCGCCCGCCATCCGCGCTTCCACTCCTCCGAGTCCAACCACAAACGCCCCCGTTCTTTATTATTTAATTTCCTTCTCGCATGGCCCCTGTCAAGAGCTCTTGTGGATCTCCTTTATCTTTATCTTTATTTAAGCTTATTTGGACCCCTGTATTTGCTATACGCGTATTTATGTACCATGACCTGGTACCTGTATTGTTACCATACTACATTTATATCGCGACGCTTTATGCTCCTCTCTGATTCTCTCCTTGGAATAACTGAATCCATACAAGCCATTTTACTGGAATTTACTCCCACTTGACCCTGGCGTGAACCCGGGATCACGTCGTGTAATCCAGTACGTACTGTCGGAAGTCGTTGAACCATATCAGTACAGGAGGCCCGTTGATTGCAATGAGGATTTATAACTGTGGATCGAGTAATTGTCGTTGAACTCGCGATCTATGGGTTAGGTCCGGGAATGCTTATGGAATTAGGCTGTTGACTACTTTTGCCTATCACGGCGAGATTATTATGAATATTTGGGAATGGTGTGTTCTAATTTCACGAATCTAAGAACAGTGGAACCCGTACAACGGAATATCACCTTCGTCAATCATCTTTACCGTGGATTTAAGAAAAGGAAACAAAATGGATGAAAATGCAGAAAAGCCGTCATGCCGTGCGTTGAGAAGGAACCTCGTATAGGATTAAATTAAGTAAATCAAAAAAACGCCCTCATTTTTATTTACGCAGAACCGAACTCCTTGATATCAGTTTGCTTGCCCTGGAGGGCAAGAGGAACGATACCACTGACGTGCATTTCAGGTCCGTAGACGTGCATGTCGAGGCTAAGCTCCTCGCCGACAGCCTTGATGTTCTTAAGGCCCTCCTGGTAGTTAGGACCAGCGCGGCGGACCCAGATCTGGACCTTGTGCTCGTTCAGAACAGGGGCAACCTCCCGCAGCGCGCGAATGACACCCTTGAAGGTGGAGGCGACGTTGGTGAAGTTGGCAATACCGCCACCGATGAAGAGGACCTTTCCGTCGGGGTGAACGGGAGAACGGAGCATCAGGTCAAGGACAGTGCGGGCGTAGTTAAAAGTCTGAGTCTCGGTGGGGGCACCAGAGTATTCACCGTAGTTGGCGAGCTCGCTGACGAAACCAGCAGAGGCGATGGCATCCGCGTAGACGACGGAGGCACCACCACCAGCGACAAGAGTCCAGACACGGCCATTGGCGTTAAGAACAGTGAGCTTGAGGGAGGCACCGGTCTTAGCATCCATGTCTGAAATGAACTTCTCCTCCTTACTTAATTCACGACCGAAGGGAGCGGGGAAGTCAATGGGAGGGCCAGCATCAATGTTGATCTTATCAGACGTGGGAGCAGCAGCCAGACCAAGGTTAGCCGGGCTTCGAGCAACAGCCCACTTGGTACCACACTCGAACTCAGCAGTCTGGTCGAGCTTAGCAGCCAAGTCAAGGAAGTGGACTTCGGCAGAAGTAGCATCAGCGTTGGGAATGACCACAAGAGGGTTGATTTCAAGGTAGGTGAACTGGCAGTCAACGTAGACAGCGTAGAGGCGGGAGATAAAGTCCACGAGGACATTGTGGACGCCCGTGGGAACCTTGCTGAGAAGGGCCGAAGCAATCTCCTCGTTGGAAGGGTAGTTCTTGAGGTTGACAGGGACCAGAAGCTTCTCCGCCTTAGCATCAACATCACCAACGTCGACACCACCCTCGTGGGTGAAGAGGATCCAGTCACCCTAAAAAAGGTGTATCAGTTTTGAATGCAATTTAAAGTAGGCTGGCTATGTTTTCTTACCTCACGCACGGAGTGGATGTTGATGTAGTACTCGGTTTCTTGGGGGTGAGGAACGAAGGGCTCGACAAGGAACTGGCGGAGCACACCGACGACAGTCTCAACCTTCTGTTCCTTTGTAGCACGAGCCTCAATCCATTCCCTAGCCTCAGCCCAAGTCTTGTTCAGAGCGAGCAGACCGCTCTTGCCTCGCCTCTTGATCAATTGGTCGGGCTTGGCCACGAATTTAGATCCGGGGGCCAACAGCCACGGGTATGTGACCTCTGCCTGGTCGAGAACATCCTTCACCGCAAGGTCGTCGGGGAAGTACAGAGAAGCGAGTCTGGGGGGAGGGTTGTGGGTGGTCGAAGGAGGGAGAGGAGTAGGCTTAATGACGGGGGCGCGAGTGAGGTGGTAGTTGAGGATGGCCTTGCCATCGGCTTCGAGGATCGATTTGGCGGACATTGTGTATATGTGGATGGATGTACGAGAATAAGAGGGGTTGAGAAAGAAGATTGAGAGACAGGAGTAGGAGGTAGGAGGGGAGGTATGATAAAGGGATGCAAGCCCCAGATGACAATTAGTAGTATATGGAAGAGAGGAAGAGAAAGATGGAGGAAGAGAAAGGGACGTGAGAATAATTTGTCTGCGAGGTCGGCGGAAAAAAAAGGCCTGCCAGATGAAGATAAATTATGATGACGGGGCTGAGGGGGGAAACAAAAAGGTTGTGCTGATGGTGGTACCTGGAAAAGCTGGTAACAGTCAATACTGAGGATTCTGATACCGATGGATACGGGTACAAGGTTCATTCAAGCGGGCTGGAACAGCACAGCGGTGGTGGGGGGACATTGGGCCCTCTTTTTGTGCGGTCAGCTTCACAACCAGCTGTTGTTGGGCGCTCTGATTTTCATTCCTACTGGAGCTTTATCGATACCGAGATCGCGTTGGGGATCTGCGGGACGGTAATTTTAGTGGCAGTATCCGCCCTACGCTGTAGCCTGAATACTGTTCCCACCGCAACGAGCTGGTTCTCTGACCAGGCCATGCGTTTTGTTGAGTCTGGCACTCTGGCATGATGTTCTGTTGGATGCGACCTTGGTCTTTCGAATCTTCGATGGCTAACGGCGCCGGTATTTCGTGCCTCGGCCAAAACTTCTCGAAGATCGGGATGAGGGGCACGGTATCGCCAGTACACGGAGTTTAATCGTACTATACTCCGGATTTTATCTTCTGATTTAAAATACTTATACTCCGCCCCCGGCTCGGGATAATAAAAATGTGTCGACGACTGCCTGAATTCTGCATATTATTATTCAATCCTCGAAAAGGTTACTCCGCGGGGTGCTGTGGTGGAAATTCAGCCCGTATCATGGATCTATACCTAACCGGCGGACCCAACAACTCTGGGGTATCCACCAAATGCTGGATTCTTCGATGTAGGCCCAGGAACGAGTCAACGGCCACTTTCATGATAGATTCTTCAGGGTACTGACAAGAACGATCTCCATAAAATGATAGATTCTTCTGAGTAAGTGGAAGAACGTCAACTTTCTCCTTTGGACTCTCAAGAATTTGACCAAGATGGCGATGCTCACGGAGCTGCCCACTGCTACGATGGGTAAGGAGAACTCCGGTCTCCGACGGCTGTTTCTTCCAGCAATAACTGTCGTTTCACTTTTCATCGGGATATCAGCGGGCGTTCCAATAATGCTTGCCTTTCAGCTGGATTTCCCGTATCCCTCGTCATCTTAAAGGCAATCCATGCCAATAGTAAGCTTCTGTTTGAACTCAAGTCTGAAGTTGTCGGTGTATTTCCCAACCCCAACGTGGGTCGCCCCAAGGTACTGTCACGTATTGTATCGCGTGACCATCCATCAATACCATACATCTTTTTTTACTCACCTTCAGCGCAAGCTCCATAATAATAATAATCAGTAATCCTCCTCTTTAACCCCCCCATCAGCTCCCGATATCGTCCTCTTTTTCTTCAATTTCAACCTGGTCCTTTTTGATTCTTTTCTCCTGATTCTTCTCCTCCTTACCTTCTCCATCTCTCTGTTCCTCCCTCTCCATCCTTGTCTTTTCTCCATCGTGGTTGGAATCCTCTCAGCATCTTCTCCCATTCTATTTTCCCTCGTATTCCCTTTCACTCGAGGCTGCAGACTGCTTGAATTGCATCTGCTTCTAATTAATATCCTCACTTCTTTCCTCCCCGGTTCTTGGAAGCTCTGTTGACAGGCAAGCATTGTTACGCATCTAGTCCACTGCCACCATACACTAACAGCGCTTTAGAGTATCAGCCATTATGCCTGCCGCCCCTCTGCTCAGCACCGCCAACGGTGCCAACGCCAATGATAACATCACTCGCTTCGAGCCCCCTAGCCGAGTGCGGTCTCCCTTCGCCGATGCCCTTTTCCACAACAAGACAAGATGTTTCGTATAGTGAGTGGCCCGTCCAATTACGTCCAATTGCATAGGCTGACGGCCGATTCAGTGGTATGCAGCCCCGAGCTGTCCAGGGTATGCTTGACTTCGACTTCATCTGCAAGCGGACCACCCCCTCCGTTGCTGGTATCATCTACACATTCGGCGGTCAATTCGTTAGCAAGATGTAAGACTTGTTTTCCAATTGGTGATGGCACCACTCGCTAATAATCTTTTAGGTACTGGGGCACTAGTGAAACTCTCCTTCCCGTCTACCAGGACACCGCAAAGGCCATGGCCAAGCACCCTGATGTCGATACTGTCGTCAACTTCGCCTCTTCCCGTTCCGTCTACAGCTCTACCATGGAGCTGATGCAGTTCCCTCAGATTAAGTCCATTGCCATTATCGCTGAGGGTGTCCCAGAAAGGGTAAGTTCTCGAGCTTGCTATTCAGTCAAAGCGATCACAACGCTAACATCATGCCCAGCGCGCTCGCGAAATCCTTGTCGCTGCTCAGGAGAAGGGTATCACCATCATTGGACCTGCTACTGTCGGTGGTATTAAGCCTGGTGCTTACAAGATCGGTAACACCGGTGGTATGATGGACAACATCGTTGCCTCGAAACTCTACCGCAAGGGTTCCGTTGGCTACGTCTCCAAGTCTGGTGGCATGTCCAACGAACTGAACAACATTATCTCCCAAAACACCGACGGTGTTTACGAGGGTGTCGCCATTGGTGGTGACCGCTACCCCGGTACTACTTTCATCGATCACCTGCTGCGTTATCAGGCCGAGCCTGAGTGTAAGATCCTTGTTTTGCTCGGTGAAGTTGGTGGTGTCGAGGAATACCGCGTTATTGAGGCCGTCAAGAACGGTACTATCACCAAGCCCATTGTCGCCTGGGCTATCGGTACTTGTGCCAGCATGTTCAAGACAGAAGTTCAGTTCGGTCACGCGGGTGCCTCCGCCAACTCGGACCTTGAAACCGCTGTTGCTAAGAACAAGGCCATGAGAGAGGCTGGCATCTTCGTCCCCGAAACCTTTGAAGACATGCCCGCAATTCTCAAGAAGGTCTACGACGAACAGGTTCAGAAGGGTACCATCACCCCCCAGCGTGAACCCGTCCCACCCAAGATCCCCATTGACTACTCTTGGGCCCAGGAATTGGGTCTTATCCGTAAGCCCGCTGCCTTCATCTCTACCATCTCCGACGACCGTGGCCAGGAGCTTCTGTACGCTGGAATGCCAATTTCCGATGTCTTCAAGGAAGATATTGGTATCGGTGGTGTCATGTCTCTACTCTGGTTCCGCCGCCGCCTCCCCAGCTTTGCTACTAAGTTCTTAGAGATGGTTCTAATGCTTACCGCCGATCACGGTCCCGCCGTGTCTGGTGCCATGAACACCATTATTACTACCCGTGCCGGAAAGGACCTGATCAGTGCTCTTGTCTCTGGTCTCTTGACCATTGGTTCTCGCTTCGGTGGTGCCCTGGATGGCGCTGCTGAGGAGTTTACCAAAGCCTTCGACAAGGGCATGAGCCCCCGTGACTTCGTTGACACCATGCGGAAGGAGAACAAGCTGAGTATGTCACCCCCAACTCTATTATACTCTAGGGTTTCGTATACTAACGTATCACCTAGTTCCCGGAATTGGTCACCGTATCAAGTCCCGTAACAACCCCGATCTTCGTGTTGAACTGGTCAAGGACTACGTGAAGAAGCACTTCCCGAGCACCAAGCTGCTGGATTATGCCATCGCTGTTGAGACTGTCACGACCTCCAAGAAGGACAACCTCATTCTCAACGTCGACGGTTGCATTGCTGTCTGCTTCGTGGATCTCATGCGCAACTGCGGTGCTTTCTCCGCTGAGGAGTCTGAGGACTACATGAAGATGGGTGTCCTCAACGGTCTCTTCGTTCTTGGTCGCAGCATGGGTCTGATTGCCCACTACCTCGACCAGAAGAGACTGCGCACTGGTCTCTACCGACACCCTTGGGATGATATCACGTACCTTCTCCCCGCTCTCCAGAAGGGTGGCTCTGAGGGCCGTGTTGAGGTCAACGTATAATTTTAATACCTTTTCTAATTATTACTCTTTTTTACTCGCAGAGGAAGCTAGTGTTGGGCGCAGGCGACCCTGCGAGATCATAAAATACGTCAGGAGTTATGATGGCCTATGTTATGCATTTGTTCAATTTATCTTATCCTTTTCTATCACGTTGTTGAATACAATTAGAGCACACACGAGTCATGACGTGGATGATTTCTTGCGATGGTCGATCGTAGTATAAACAATACGCTTAGAAAAGATGGACGTTTAACTCTTTTCAGTACAGCCTTAGCTAAGTACGACAGTCCCTCCAATGTTAATCATAATGTCTGCGCGGCAATATTTGGAGCAAGCGAAAGGCTAGGTAGTTTTGCGTACGCCTGTGGAACCTCCATAACGAGTCGTCATTTATACAATAAAGTTATAAAACGAAGTTATATCAAACTAATTTATACTATAAAATAGATTGCTCCAACAAAATACAAGTAGTATTGGAGGCGGACTTCGCTAGTCTTTCCTTATCGCATTGCCTAGAAATTCTTATCAGCAGCACAAGTAAAAGAAAAGCTCCTACCCGCACCTGTCAAATCCTCAATAACTTCCCCGGCTCCCAACACGACATCCCGAAACGAGAAGCCCCTAGATTTGAGGTTGCTTAAGAACGCACCGGCAAAATGGTTCGCGTAAAGCATCGCTACCTCCTTATCGATATCCTTTACCCCGACTCATCGTCCTCTTCACCCTCAGGTCGCTCCGACAAACAACCCCAACTCCGGATCCATGCACCCACATCCGACGCCCTAACCCCCAGCCTCCTAGCGAAAATGGTCCGGGATGAAGTCGCTGAGATATTTGGCGACTGGGGCATCGGTAGGCTAGGTGGCGTTGGTGCTGGTGGTGTTAGCGGTACGTTTCTTCTTTTCCTGCCAACCTGTCGCACTACATGATTGAGAAGCCGAATGGGTGTCTATTGGGAAAGAAAATGCTAATCAAGTGCTTGTACTAGTAAAATATCTTTCTCCCGCAACATCAACAGCCATAATCCGGTGCCCGCGGGCATCATACCGACTAGTCTGGACGGCTCTTACGTACATATCTCGCGTCCCTGCTATCAGTGATGCCGGCCGGTCAAAGCGTTTGGACCCAATGGATTTAACGAGACCGTGTGTCTTTAGGGTGATTCGGGTGTCTGGGACGATCCGTAAAGCGGAGGAGGAGGCTGTGCGGATAGCGAGGAGGGAGATTGTTCGGCTTAGGGGAACCGAAGAGGTGGGTGTTTTGGGAGGCTTGGTTGGGGGACTAGAGAAGGAGATTGAAAGGGGATTTGCAGAGGATAGCGGTATCGATGATATGGAGGTGGATAGCGGTGATGATTGATTGACTGAGGAGTTATTCCGGTTTTTCTACTTACTACGAGGTATGGAGTTTTTGTGGGCATGCTATTGTACATATATATTCGTTAGAGATACCCTATTGGATGCGACATTGCGCTTTTCATTATTGCCGCTTCATTTCTTCCGAACTACTTTCACTCCACCATCCGGCATTGGCGCTCGTGGGCCATATTCGTCGTCGTCACCTTCTTCGTTCCCGCCCTGATCGGCTGCTCCTTGCTTGTGCCTTCTGGCCTCCTCTTCTAGCTGCCGCCGCTCGAGCTCATCGTACTCATCTTTGGCATCTATCCAGCGTTCCTGTACGTCTCGAACGTCCATGGTTCCCATTCCTTCCCGAACAGCTATTTGCCAAACAGAGTCATTTGCTCCTTCTGCTGGTCCGAAAACGTACCCACTGGCGCGGTCAATTACTCGGAGTAGATTCATCATGCTTTTCTTATCCTCCACAGCAAGAGTTTCAAATCCCACAAGCCCGAACTCCTCAATTAGGTCAATTATGGCGTTGTTGAGTGGTCCAAATTTCTCGTGAGACAACCGCGATGATTCTGCATCTAGGTGAGGTAGGAGATACGAAAGGTCTTGAACTTCGGTATAGAAATCTAGATTGAACGGAAGCGGCGAATAATTGGACAGATTGTCCATCTTCGTAAGAACATTGAGGTGGGGGAGGTCCATTTGCAACATGGCGCGAAGACTGAGGATGAGAGAGGAGATATACATTGACGGTAGCGTGAGGTTGTACGAATCGATCAGGTGTAATACTATTAACTATAGACCTGATTAGATGCGCCGACATAGGAGCTAACAGGAATGGAACACACTCTATAACCCAACTTCTGGATCTTGAAAAAGATATTCCGTAACGATGAATGGTGGGTGAAGATCTCTACCTGACCAGGGCAATCGAATATAATATAATCGTCTAATCATTTAATCCAAAGCCATTAGCCTACGATCCTGGAGGGTGGATAAAGCATCATCGCAAAATGCGCATACCTCCTAGAGCCTTTAGCCCTTCTTCCAACCAGTCAAAGTTCTCTTCCAACTCCTCCAAAGCGTACAGAACACCGCCATTTGGCCCGAGATGGTCCTCGCTCATTATTTCTTCCAGCGTCACAAGGTCGCGCACGTCCAGCGCACACAGATATGATGTCTTGTCATTTGCGGGGTCAAGATTGACGATTGAGCATTTGCGCCCAATAGCTCCGAGGAACTGGTGCATGCCATTGCAATAAGTGGACTTTCCCGCACCCGGCGGACCTATTACTAGTTGCGCAAATGGCATGATGAAGACCTGAAAGGCTGCGGGTGAAGTAAAACCAGAGTGGCCCAAAGGTAAAAAAGAAAATGCCGAAGCTCAATGGTCGCGATGGCGGGGAGATCAAACACAAGGCGGCAAACTGTGGCAGAAAACGGCCTGAAGCAACAGCCGCATTATCACAAGACCGACCGCCGTCGGTTTTAAAGCACATAATATACAGCCATTGCCTACAAGCCGAGATGGCGTCAAGTAAGCTTCAAGTCTCATTATTGCTGGACGAGCAATACTGATTACGTTATAGATCAATTCATCATTGCGTCGCCGCCCACGGATGCTATCTCCGCATTGAAGTTCTCTCCCGCCCCCGATTCTACGCGATTCGTTGTATCTTCGTGGGATAAGCATGTGTATGTCTACGACTTGCGGGACGAGAACGGCACGGCCGGAGAAGGGAAGCTGTTACGAAAGTTCGAGCATCGTGCGCCGGTCCTGGATGTGTGTTTCGGCGAAACCGAGGACGAGATCTATACCGCTGGCCTTGACTGGGATGTGAGGAGGTGAGTGCGTCGTTCTTTCCCGGATGTTCTGGGGCTGTGCGATTGACAAAGTTTTCTTTTCTTTTCTTTTCTTTTTTTAAAGAATTGATATAGCCTCATCTACCCAAACCATCCTTAGCAGCCACGATGCTGGCGTCCGAAATGTCGTTTATAACAAGGAAAACAACATGGTCATATCCTCCTCCTGGGACAACACATTACATGTGCATCGCATGAGTGAGGATAGGAGTGCTGTCGCCGCATCTACAATAATCCCCCTCCCATCCAGGCCTTTCTCTATGTCTCTCACAGCAACGAAGCTTGTCGTCGGCATGGCGTCGCGCGCCTTACATATCTACGACTTAAAAGCACTCGCGATCCTCACAGGGGAATCCGAGGGTGGAAACCCCAGCAAAGTTGAGGTGGAGCCATGGCAGCGCCGTGAAAGCAGCTTGAAGTTTATGACGCGCTGTGTTGCTTGTATGCCGGACGACGCTGGCTATGCCTCCTCGAGCATTGAAGGACGGGTTGCGGTTGAATGGTTTGATCCGTCAGCAGAGTCACAAGCACGGAAGTACGCTTTCAAATGTCACCGACAGGCGTCGGGTGATGTCGACGTGGTGTATCCGGTTAATTCGCTAGCGTTCCATCCAATCCATGGGACATTCGCATCTGGAGGAGGTGATGGTGTGGTTGCTCTCTGGGATGGTATTGCGAAGAGGAGGATCAGACAGTACCAAAAATACCCCTCAAGTGTAGCTGCTGTGGGGTTTAGCTCCGACGGTAAATATCTTGCAATTGCTATCAGCCCCGGTTATGAAGATGGAAAGGAGGACTTTGTCGACGGCACGGTCAAAATCTACGTGCGTGAACTTGGAGAAACGGAAGCAAAGGGAAAAGGCGCGAAATAAAATACTATATAATTAACCCTTACGAAAATGGCTTTTTTATGACTGGCGTATAGACCAAGCAGACTCAAGTAATAACATTCTTTGAGGTATTTACGCTGCTCCAAATCAGCACCAGCTAACTCAACATATATAGCATCTAATCGTATCAGTCATCTCTACTTTATCACCGCTGTATAGTATTTCGTATGCATCCTAATTCTTCCGAGATACCTCAAAGAAGCGCCTTCCGGACCGACACACTGCCGTCGGGCATTCCAAAGTAAGCAGCAATCGGCCTTTGGCCCCCGATGCCCCCTGATGCCTGGGCTTGAGGACCAGTCAGACCAGAGAAGATACCAACATCCAAAACACCGGGAATTTGCTTGATGGCGGCTGCTAAAGTGTCAACCTCCCAAACGCCACCTTTTCCGCTACCATCCTGGCCAGCTGCCACGTCCGCCTTCGTTAGAAGTGTTGGGAAAGGCGCATCAACAATATAGAAGCTCTGGTCCGTTTTCAGAGGACCCTCTTTAGAGCCAGCCTGTGGGCGAAGTGTAGGCTCAATGCTGCCCAGTTGTTTGAGAGCAGTAATCACTCGCGCAGCAGCTATCGGCGCAACTTCGATGGGAATGTATTTCCAGCTGGACAGAAGACGAGACTGCAGCTTCCGCGAATCTGTACAAAAGATGATATAAGCCAATTGCGATAGTCTCGGATTAGTCTGATGAGTTACAAACCTGCAACACAGATGAACTCCTTGGCTTGGAGAGCAACGATCTTCTCCTGGAAAAGACAAGCACCGCCGCCCTTTATCAGGTTAAGCTCATCATCGACCTCGTCTGCACCATCGAATGCGATATCGAGTACTGTTCCTTCAGGGATAGCGTCAAATTCCACAGCCGTCAGGCCGGCATTGATGACCAGCTGTTTGGATTGAAAACCAGTCGGTACATAGAGGGTGGCAGAGGTATCAATTTCCAGCTCCTTAATGGCCTGAACAACGTAGGCGATGGTAGAGCCACTGCCAATGCCGACGAATTTGGCATCTTTGGGATAGTGGTTATCGACCGCTGCCTTCCCAGCGGCGCGTTTTGCTTTTTCGATGAGTTCGGCCATCGTGGAGTTCAGACGGATGGGCGCTCTGGAGACTTGCGACAAATGTGCGTTCAAGGTAATACAAGGACGAAGTATGGATGAAACTGAATGACAGGAAGTGGACCAGAATTGGAGGCTGCGCATATGTACCTATTAATATGAGTCCGGGGGAGAGATGCCCGGTGGGGTGAATTCCCCTCCGACGCGGTTTTTTCCATGGGCCACTCACGATCGATTGCAAGGGAAAATCCGGGGAATAAATATCATTGCAATTGGTACATTCAGGAGAGATCCACCTTGTCAAAGAGCATGTGCTTCAAAGTGCATGATCAACCCTCATACCAAACATTCAGTCAACAAAATAGAAAAGTTGTTAGGAGTGGCAGTGAGGGGCTGTGTCGTCATAGGCTTGGCAGCATTCTACGGTGTAGTAGCCTCAGGCAATCATAGCCAGCAATTCACGTGTTTACACCCGGATTATTAATGATGCCTGCCGGTGGCTTGCTTTACAGTCACTTTACAACGTATAGCACTGTCAACCTCCCCGCACCAAATAAAGATTGTTGTGGTTTCTTATTATACCTCGTTTTTTCTGTTCTGCGGTGGATCTTGGTTTGATATGACCTCAGAATTTCCTCGTGCCCTGACCGGCCCCTCTTCTAAGGAAAGGAAGTACGATCGTCAGTTGCGGCTCTGGGCTGCCAGTGGACAGCAAGCTCTAGAGGAAACTCGGGTGCTATTGGTCAACTCCGATGGACCATGGGGAAAAAAGAGCACAGGTGTATCAGGCGTAGCCGGCGTCGAAACGCTTAAGAATCTCGTCCTTCCAGGCATTGGGGGCTTCACGATTGTTGATCCTGCTGTGGTTACTGAACCAGATCTCGGAGTGAACTTCTTCCTCGAAACTGAAAGCCTGGGCAAGTCAAGAGCTGAGGAGACATGTCGATTACTGAAAGAGTTGAATCCTGACGTAGAGGGCAACTTCAAATCCAAGGTATACCTGTCACGTAGGGACAAGGTCCCAACCCGATTTCTTGATGCTAATTATTTTGGTACATCAGCCTATCGCGGAAACTCTCCAAGAGGATCCCGAGTTCCTGGCACAGCATAAGCTGGTTTTAGTATCGGGCCCTATTAAGCATTCATCCCTGCAATCTCTTTGTCGGGATGCTAAAGCGCTAGGGATCCCGGTTCTCTATACGCGGTCTGTGGGATTTTACTCTATATTTTCTCTTCAACTTCCGACTGTGTTTCCCATAGTAGAGACTCATCCAGATCCAGAATCGACACAGGATCTCCGTCTCCTCAAGCCTTGGCCGGAGTTGGCTGAGGCGGGCGCCAGTATCAGCAACTTAGACAGTCTCGATGATCATCAGCACGGCCACGTACCATACGTATTACTACTTCTTCACTATCTGGAGAAGTGGAAGGACGCTCATGGTGGATCTGTTCCTTCCAACTATAAGGATAAAACAGCATTTAGGGACTTCGTACGGTCTAGCGCGCGAACAAACAACCCCCAGGGCGGCGAGGAGAATTATGATGAGGCTGTGGCCGCCGTGCTCAAATCTCTTAATCCATTCGCTCTACGCAGCTCCACCAGAGAAATATTCCAACTGGAAGAATGCAAGCAGCTGACCACAGACTCTGCTGATTTCTGGGTCATTGCGTCTGCAGTGCGTGAATTCTACGAAAAGTACCAAGTCCTACCTCTCCCTGGCTCGTTGCCTGATATGAAAGCCCAAACGGCCGACTATGTCTCACTACAAAACATCTACAAAACAAAGGCTAGAAAAGATATTGCAGAAGTCACGGAAACAGTTCGAAGGATTGAATCTCAGTTACGACGCGCCGTTGGAGTCTCCGAGAAGGATATCGAGATATTTTGCAAAAACGCTTCTCACATTCAGGTGATTCGTGGTCGTAATATACCACAAGTGGAAGGGGATTCACAAACCAAGAAGCGCTTCCTGGTTGAGCTGGGTAACGAAGAATCTCTTATCCCTGTTGTTCTAGCATTTCAGACCTTGGATATTGTGGTGACCGGGATTCAAGAGGGGAGATATTCCGAAGACGCCCTTGATGACGAAACAGTGTGGTCTTCTGAAATTGATCACATCCTGGGTGCTATTGCCGGGGAGGGCTCAGCGCCCATTGACGATGAAGCTAAGGGCCGCATCTTGGGGGCTGCGCAAGAACTTCGACGAACAGAGGGCGGCGAGTTGCACAACATTTCTTCCCTTACCGGCGGCTTAGTGGCGCAGGAAGCCCTCAAAGTAATCACTAGGCAATATGTACCTTTGGATAATACGTGCGTCTTCAACGGAATCCACAGTAGCAGTGCCATGTACAAGCTGTGATGGGCTACGTTACGTGAGACTGCCGCAAGATGCACGGGTAACAATAGATAGCTTGAGGATATGAATTTATGACCCATTACTACCTGTTCCAAGCTGTCTTGTCCGTGCAATGCTCCATCGTAGTCCAATAATTTATTTTCGGTACTTTGCTCGCGGTAGGGTGGACGGTGTATACTAAAGCTTGGCATTGGCACGTGGGCAAGAACAGCGGTTACCTTGTTTGGGCTAGTGGCGGAGCCGGAAGTGACGCCGCCCTGTGGACTGGGGGAGGATGGCCGTGCAGTGTCTCGGACCACTGCCAACTTTCCAACATCTTCTTGAACCTTGCTCTCTATTGACGTTCGCTACGCCATGTACTAATGGCAAATTGCCACAGAGGCGCTGATATTCTGTTTCCGCCTTATATCATGCCTACTTGCTGATCCCATAATCCATCGTGTCCTTCAGCGTTTCATCTCGGCCAAGGGTGTACGGGACCAGCGGATTTACCTCCGTCCGTCGGCCTGTCTTGGTCACCCTTGAACCTTTCGAACCGAGATGTCTTCTTCAGAAGGGACCGGAATATTGCCGGCCATTATTAATGCTTCTTCGGCATTGCCCTCTTCGGTACTGCCGTCCTCTGTATCATCCACGAATCTATCGGCTCCACGCGACTTGCTGTCGCTCCCGCTTCGCGGTCTCCAACGCGCGGAATCCTTCGCCTTCTCCTTTATCCCCAGACGCATGGCAAGGCTAGTCGGTCTCAGGGATATGAACACACACTTTTGGAGTACTCCCGGCGCAGGCCTAGAAAGAGAGGTGGTGGCGGCCACTACCCAAGCTGCTAGCGAGGCTGCGAGGGAGGCTGTAGCGGAGGCGGCGGCTCAACCCAGTACTCGATTACAGTTCACAGATCTTTTGCAAGGTGCCATAAAGTTCAGCGGCTTCTTCTCCTATTTGACTAGTCGGTGGTCACTCGCATGTTTCACTGTGGTGAGGGTACCTGAATTCTGGTTGTGAACCATTCTGACACTTATAGGCGCTCGTCCTGAACAGGATCGCGATATACGCTTCAACAAGACGACATTTACATTTAGACTGGACGAGGCGATTAGCCTTGCGCATTATTCCCATTCTGCTTCTCATTTCCCAGATACACTCTCTTCTTCGTGCGATCAAGTGCCAGACATCGCCTGACTACCCCGAACTCCGGTATGGCTCCCCCGGGAAGCGTTTGCAGTTCGATTATGCTGGAGGAGGCGGGTTCCTTTTCTCATTAAGCTCGAACTTACTTACATGGGAGACGGACCTGCAGTCTTGCAGTGCAATGAATATGAACCGCGTTGGGACCGATATACCGTACGGCTCGTTCAGGTTACTTTGGCCGGTTTTTCTTCGACTTTGTTTGAGTCATTTTATGGAGACTCTCTCGAGCTCCTTGCAAGGAAGACCTGTTGTAACAGAAGGGGGAATGTCCATATTTGAACACTCACTTTCATTTGCCGAAGCAGAATCCACTATCAGCCAATCCCTTGGTTTGGGACCATTCAGCTCACCCAAGACGAAGATGAGCGAAGACGGAGACAGTGATACTCCCCGTACACCCCTTCAGCTGATGACTAAATCTCAAATTTTGGACCGAATGAACGTTACCCCGGAGTTACTGCTAGTTGCTTTGATTTCTTGCTGCCATTGCTTGTCTTCGAATGTGCTAGACGTTATCGGAAAGCAAAGCAGATACCGCCTATTTAACACTACTTTCTGGGGCCTATGTTTCATGGCTGCCATGACTTGGGGTCTCGCTTCCGGATTATCTCTAGGAACTGACGATTTGGCTCTAAAGTTTCCGACAGTTTGTGTGGTGGGTTTCGTGCCGCACCTTCTAATTCTATGCGGCATCATTGTTTGTGCGGCAATCTATTCACTTGCTCTTCTTATAACTGCTTTCTCTTTACCTTCTGATATTCCCCAGCAATTGTCTCTCTGGGAACGGTTCAGCCTTGCGCATGAGAATATGCAAGGATCCAACCAGGTTGGCAATGTGCGCATCAATCGACATGAGGATTTCTACAGTGCTCTCCTTAGGATTGGTTACACCGCCCTAACTGCTGCCAGCGAAGCTGTCTTTCTCAACGAGGGACGAGGTGTCGTTGCGCGCAATATGACATGGTTGGAGGAGGATAGATTAATCGAAATTGAATCCTCGCGCCGGAGACGCTCATCGCAGGTGACACCAGGTGGCCGGGCCGATGACCTGCTTATGGAGAGTGGAGAGACTCTTACTTTTGATATTCAGGAGCCTTCACCTGACTGGGAAAGTGGTTACGGCCGAGAAAAGAAGATCGAGAAGCCTAAGGGGAGGTCACGAACCTCACGGTACCAGAGTAACCCTGGCGGTGTCGGTGCCTTCCGCGGTCTTGTTCGATGTTACCAAGGAATGGCCTTTTTCCGCGCTATTTTCTACCTCATGTTCAAATGGATGGCCCTCGTTCTTGACAAAACTTTAACGCGAGTCGGAATCACAGCTCGTCCTCAGTGGATGAAGCTTATTGTAGGGCAACGAGGGAATACTGCGCAGGATAAATCAGGGAAGGCTAACAGGGAATCGCTGGATTTCTGGATGCTCACGGACGAAGGAGAGCTGGAGTTACCAGCCAACCACGAGTTCGACGTCGAGAAAGAGATGAGGAAGAGGGAACGGTTAAACACCGGCGATTGGAACCCGCCTGACGAACAGCGGTTAGACGAGAAGCTTTACAATTGGTGGAAAGCAGGTGGTTCATGGGGTGACCAAGATCAAACCCCAGATTACGGCCCGTCTGAGGATGATTGGGATGACACAACCAGTGTCGTTTCAGCAACAACCGTTTCTGATTCCGAGTGGGAGGATGAATCGGACGGCCGGCGCACACCTACACAAACCGATCCGTTCCCCCACCAGTATTCTAGGGAGGGTACTCCTGCCCCAGAGTCGCTGATGGACGTTGGTTCCTTTGCACGTCTTCTTGACCCACGCGATGAAGAAACGCGACAGGAAGCTCGGATTTTGGCAGCCCATCTCAATGCCGGACGAGAAGGACGAATTCTTACACGACGTCGGTTCCAGGAGCAGGTTGAACGGCAGAGGGCACAGATTTTGTTCAGTTCACACCAATCACGTCTCGCAATGACGGGCTCTCATGAGGCAAAGCAAAGACCCAACACGCGAGAGGAATCCGAGATTTTAGAGAAACTCATCCTCACCAAGCGCTCCGCAGCCCCCTCCGGCTCGCCGAACACCGAACAGACCTGGGAGACTGGTGCCTCGGGGCTAGGCGCCAGTGGACCGCCCTGTGTTGTCTGCCAGACAAACTCTCGCTCCATCATCGTCTGGCCTTGCCGATGCCTTTGTATATGCGAGGACTGCAGGGTAAGCTTGGCGATGAATAACTTCGGAAGCTGTGTGACCTGTCGACAGGAAGTTGGCGGGTTTGTACGTTTATGGGTACCATAGAGTTGGTATAACAACCCTGTTGCATGTTTTCTTCTTGTATCTGATATCCCCATTCATTACTCCTTGATCGTAATATAGCGCTGCGAGACTCACTGAATTCCATCTCATTTCTGGAAGCACTACATACCCTTATTTTCAATTTCAAGTATAGACAGTCCGGGTGGCTAAGGACTGGAAGAAAACTTTTGTGGGGAGAAGTGAGACTTAAGGCGGGTTATAGCATGCAGAATAACCTGCTAATTCTTTGATGTGCAGTATAGCTCCTTGGATGTTCTACATCTACTTGATCTGTTCAGCAACTCCTTCCTGCTCTGGACCGGCTGTTCACTCAGATTCACTCAAGTGAAGTTATGTTAACAGCTGTGGTGACGAAGCTTCTGGATCTTTATCTTCATGAAAGCACAGTATTAGGGGGCACGTTTATTCACGGGGTACAGATTGGATTATAACTGCCGCTCCTTTTCTCTCTTTTCTCTCTTCAATTTCATAATTTTGTCGTTTACTTGCGCTTGTTACTCAGCTGTTGCTATATCGGCGGAAACATAAAGCATATTTCGCCCCTGGTCTTACTTCCCCGTCCCCGGAATCTTGAGTATTGAGACTCATCATGTCTTCTGACGCCCGGGACAAAGATACCGAGCTTCTTGCTTCTGGATATGATGGCGATATTAATGATACTGATTCAGAGGCAAGCACAGTAATTGCAGCCAGAAGCACGACTTCTGACCAACCAATCCTAACCAACAACGAACAACTCGAGTCTCAGCACAACGACTATGGAAATGGGACCATCTGTATCGGTTGCAATGTGCGAGACGCCGGCCCTGGAGTTGTGAACGACGAAGAAGCTCGAATTGGAACAATCTGAATCGGATGCTCTGTGTGTGACATGGACTTCGACGGTTACCAGGTAATTCTGGTTTCCAACGAGAACCATCCTACGGTCGAGTATGTCGAAAAGGTTGGACCGCTTGAAGCAAAATATTCGGAAGCTAGCACAAACAACGGGGAAAACGGGGAAGCGAAAGCATGCGAGTAATAACCTCTGTGCGCTCACTTCCTTCCTCGTCTTTTTTTCTTCGTGTTCTTCTTGTGACTCTTGCCGTTATTCTGCTGGGGTTGTCTGGACGGCTCGTCTTGGGTATGGGCGACCTCGATATCTCCCGCTCTGTCTCGAATTTCTCCTCCTGGTACCTCTACATCTCCATTTAGCCTCCTTTTATTCTGGCTATGGTCGGAATCCCTTTTTCTCGGCATCCCAGAGGCAGGTGTACAGCGCGTTGATGCGGTTTTCTAACCACTTTCATATCAATTTCCGCCCACATCCTGCACCCAGTGTGGCTAACAGACTCCCCAGAATCAGACACTTACCACGTCCGATACCTGGTTAGTCGGCCCATTCCACATAAATGCACAGGCTTGTCTTATCAAACGTCCAAGAGCCAAACAGCCCAATCCACAACCCAGCTAAAACACCATCATCAGCATCGCACAGGAAAATGCACCTGCTCTGAGAGAGAGAGAGAGAGAGAGAGAGAAAGGAAAAGAGAAAACTGGCCTTACTGGAATCAGGAATATGAAATTGTCAGGCGAAAGCCGCGATAGGTGATCGCGTACGGAGGGAGCCAGAAACGCGCAGAAACCGGACAACTCGCTAAAGAAGATTTGAGGGAAGGAAACCAAGTTTTGCACTAAAAGAACCACAATAGAGACGATGATGACAATGACAAGTGCCAAGGCGAAGATGTCATAACACTGTTGTCTGGTCGTGGGATTTAGTCTTGATTGTCTATTTCTGCCCACTATGGAGAGCATTTTGCGTATCTGTCCTCGGAGGGCTGAGCGGAATGGGGGTTTCGGTTTCTTCATTTTTGTGAGTTTTGTAATCTTGAGATTGTTGGTAGCAGAGGGACATGAAGTGAATATGGAAATGGAAGGAGCGATGAAGAGCCTGGAGGGGGTAAACAGAGAAATAGAGGCGTGAACGACTGGATGAAATATTTCTCCTGTGTCGGCGACGACAGCATAAATGTGTGAATGAATTTATCCAATTTGCAACCTATCAAAGGATGTAGCTGGGTTGTCACAATGATATACACCATGGACAAAGAACAAATGGAGGTTGTTATAATATTCCAGCCCTAACGTGAATGAATGGATGTCCGCATGTACAAGGTGAATACTGTATCATCTGTAGTGACACCCCAACAGAAACCACTCTCCAGTATATCTACCTAAAAATTCTTTCTAAGATAGCTTATCCATTGATGGATGATTTTACATGTTGGAGCCAATTCGTCGGCGATATCCAATATTATAAATAAGTCAGCAACCTTAGTTACAGACACAATCAATAAGCAACCTAATCAAGAATATAATAGCCACCACCCATGAATTCCTTCTCCTTGTATGTATCCAGACCTGGCGCTCGCAGTTTCTAACAGGCCTTCCTTGGACACGAACAAAGGCCAATGTAAGCCACGCCTTCAGGCCAAATACCAACCCAGGATAGCAGCAGCTGCGCCAGCCACTTTACCCCCGGAACTTAAGGACCTAGCTCCCCCAAGAAATGGAGGCGACGGAAAAGCCGGGCTTGATGGGGAAGCAATGTTGGATGAAACAGGCACAGAAGACGAGGAGCCCACAGGGGTTGAAGACGATATTATCGGTGTTGACGTGGGAAGAGTCACTATGGGACCGGAGGGACTGACGGGGCCATATGTTGGAGTCGCGTTTCCACCTGTCGCTGGGATACTCGTGCTAGTTGAGCCACGACCAACTGGAGGGACGGAGATTGGAACACCAACGCTGGAGCATTCGGTCACCACAACGTTGGAGACGGCTGTTGAGTCGTTAGTATGGATGAAAATGTGGTCGATATGTATTCCGAATTCGACTGGATGATGGCAGACTTGAGACTAACACGACTGGTCTTGCTCATTACAAGCTTGTTGGACACAGGGAGTCACCTCAGTTACAAGAGAGGGCTGTCGGCAGTGACAAGCAAAGTCAGACAGATTCGAGCATCCGTCGTGAGTCATGCCATTGATAAAACATTGCATCTGGTGACAGTCAGAGAAGGATGGGGTGGGTTTAATCTGATTCAGAGGCTCACAGAGCAGCTAGGCAAACCCAGAATTTGGGCCAATGTGAGGCATGTGCTAAAGAGCACTGTAGAGACCATGTGAAACTTCATTTTGATGGTAATTTTGGAGAAACCCCCAGAGGCCTGGTAACCGAAGATGATGGAGATGAAAGATTGCAATATAGAGGAAGTGTATTAAGTTAATCCCCGGGCCATTGGGCCATTTTATACGCCTGGTGAGGGCCAGACCCCCTTCAGCAACTTGTATCACATGCCGTAGGTGCTTTGGATGTCCACTTCTGTATACTATTTCGGTTTGGTGGAATTTTAGCATACAGCTGCTGTCCTTAGTATTGATGGACTAAGGAGTTGACGTAACACAGACTTGTAACTGAGAGAGATTGATGTGACATGGACAATGGGAGGACGCAACAGTACCGGCATCCGCGTCATCAGAGTAAGACCGAGTAATGAAAAATGCGTAGTTGGTCGCATATTGGAAAGAAGGCTATTTAGGTAACATGACATGAGATTCCCCGTGCTGAAGGGGCACAGGCGGGAGAACTTTATGATATGAGCCAAAGAAAATATGCTAACTAGTAGAACCTTCTCTACAAAACCACCGTTCGGCACGCTTCATTCGACCTTCTTTGATAGACTCCATTGAGGACGAGTGAGGGGATGGGAAACAAAAGGTGGAGACTGGGTGACTCTTGGAGTGGCCAGAAGCATGGAACGTTTAGAAGACAATTATTTTTGGGGAGGATGTCTTTTTTGCAGGGACAATCACAGTGGCAGAGAATCATTTGCAGGCCATTGTACGGAGTACAGGGCACCCCAACGGGTATGCTCTGTCCGACTCACTTTCTCCCGGCTCCCCCAATACCCTTCAAACAAACCAGTGATCCGAAGCCGTAAGACCATAGTCCATGGAAAGAGAAATCGTATTCTTCAAAGGGTATGTACAGTGTTCTCCGAACGCCCAACTTAGTCTTGATCTCAAACGCCTACATATATATCAAGACCCGCTTTGAAACCAAGAAAAAAATGTTACATCCGTCGCCGTTCGAACGGTGCTCATGACATTAGCTCGTCGATATATGCTCGCTGCCCTGTGGTACCATCTTTCTTGAGTAAGACTGAGAGGACCTCAAGCGGGGGATTCAGGCTGAGGGACTCCGCTCGCCTCCAGCGTTTTAAACGTGCGATTCCGATGCAAGGCTGGATGGTGTTAGCGAAAGGTCTCCTTAGAATCTGCCAAATATAACCCATGGCCTAAGTTAAGACAGAACATACCCCATATTGACTAGAGAGATCAAAATGCCGCAATATCTTCTCGTCTAGGCCAAGATCTTGGTGATGAACTAAGTACGGTTAGAACTTCATTCAACGTAACAAAGATAGGTGAGGAATGTACCCCTGGGCCCCCGGCTCTTCGCTTCCTCTTTGTTCCAGTACTCCTGTAGCTGTTTCTGCGTGATCTTGGTTGCCCTCTTGTCGACCTCCAGCAAAGGTTGCTGGGTTTCGGCCTTCGCTTGTGACCTCACAGCAAGCTCCGCCGTGGAAGGTTGGGAGGGCTGGACGTCCTTTAACGTATCTGTCTCGGGGACATTTGCAACAAGAGGCTCAAGATCCTTGGCTTTCTCCGAAGGGGATGGGGCAGCGGACGGCTTTGTGACTCTTGACTTGGCACCGAAGGATAGCACTGGCTGGTTTGATCGGGCGGAGGCAGTGTTACCTCCTCGGCGACGGGAGGGCGGCATTTTCTTCTTAATTCTGATTTCGCAGCTGGGACCGTAAGTGTGGTTCAAGACCAAGTTCGTGAAGACGATGGACAGGTATTCGTGAGTGTGCGGAGGCTGAGGAAGTCTGGCCCAAGGTTGCTGTGTGGGGGAACGAGAGATCGATGTCATGCCTGTTGCGCCGGGCAACCAGCCAACTTTGTGGCTTTTGGTCAGCACTACTCTTTGGGTTTAAACCATGCCAATGTGAAGTATTATTTTATTGAATGTAATTTTACGAGTATCAAGATACTATTTACTAGCCAACGCTGAAGGTCAAGCATGCAGCATGGTGGACCTGGCGGGGTCGCTTATGCTCTGTTGAAGGCTGCAAGTGAAGTATAGGGGAAATGTAGACTAAACCGTGGAGATGCTTACCAGGAGACCTTAGATGTCTCACAACCAACACAGCGACGGTGTTGGCAGATACTGGGCCGCTCCATTGAAAACAAGCATATAATAGAGGTATACAGACCATGATGGCGCTCGACTAGGAACCCACAATCGTTTTGGCTCAGGCCTAAAGTCATCGTCATAATAATGGAGGAGCCGCTGATCTTATCAGGGCGCCTGAGCCATCGGGGCGTTTGTGGTCTCGACGGTTCTTTCTAGGAACAGTTATGACGTTGAGGATGGAAAAAGCAACGACAATCAACATCGGAGGGAAAGGCGGTCATGGTTGGGCCATGAAGATGGGGGGCGGGCTGCGAGCGAAAGTGGAGGAGCGCGAATGAGGACAAGAGGAAAACGAGGTCAGCCTCAGGCCCGCGGGCGCGAACTCGAGGTGCAGATCAGCTCAAAGCGAGCGAAGCGAAGTCGGCAGAGTTGGTTGTTCTCTGTTCTCTCATCCCGAGTCAGTTCAGCTTCCCCACCAACTCGGCAGCACCAACAGTCAACTTGCTCTCTCAGCCGCCTTCAACGCACGCCCCTCTGCGGCTCCCAGAGTCCCAGTCTCCATCCTGTGGGATTCCTGTCTTCAGACCTCGACTTTTTCTGCTCACCACCCAGTCTACGCTATTCCTGTTTCTTCTCGACGAGCTGCTGTGCGGGCCGTGTCTGGACCTCAATAGCCGCTTACCACCTCACCCACTCACCCCTACACCGTCGCACGATCAGCGTCGTCGGTCCAAACACCAACAACCCTCGATCCGAGCCCTCTATGAACCTGTCAAGGTCATCCACACTGTCGAGTTTACATAGTTCGCAAAAAACTCTCGAGGCGCATCCCTCTCACCTACCACCTACCGATGGTGGTGTGGGAGTTGCGCTCTCACAATGGCCGCCTTCGTGCGAGTGTCGGGGCCTGCAAATGGCAACTTTCTAATCGGATACCCTGGGATATCTGCGACTATGGTAAGTGTCATGCGATTGCTATCAGCCTAATAAGCTCCACCAGGCCAGCGCGCTTACCATCTGCAGCCCCGTATAGAAGGTAAAGTCGAGATTAGACCGAGCGTAGGCATCACGGCCCCCGTCAACGTATCTCTCGTTACTGTATCTCTCGTTCGTCGCGAAACAATCCACCCATCAGCGGACCTGGTAGTCGGAAGACGTCTAGCGCCCCCGAGGAAAGACATAACCGATATTGTTGGAAAAGAAATGCTCCTATTCCGTTGTCCGGCCGGTCGAGAATTCGAGGAGGTTTTGTCAATGGACTTGCCGTTCGTTTTATTCATTCCTTTTGGCCGAGGCGGACCAGATGCATCTAGACGCGTTCCTCCTGCTAGCTTGCAGCTCCCCAGTCGTATTGCCGAGACATTTTATGAGATTGTGGTGATGGTGCAGCAAGGCCACTCCGACCAAAGAAAGTACTCGTTCCCGGTTCCTATTTCACGGTATGACACGCTGTCGACATTTGGAATGTACAATCGTCCGGAGTCTGCCGAAAATGTGTCAGATCATTTGGTGACCCTGGGTATATCTTTGCCGCGATGGTCATACGGTCCTCTCGACCCTGTGAGCGTCTACGTTAAATTATCTCCGAATCCCGACTGGATCAGCAAAGCCAGGAGAGTTACAATAAACAAAATTACCATCGGGATCGACGAAGAAATTATCTACAACCACGAGGGCGACGAGCCCCAACGGAAGGTCAAAACCTTAACAAAACGGACAGAACCGATTGGCGTAAAGATGCCCCCGACGGGCTTCCTAACAAATATGGGCCTGGTGTTCCCAGCAAAGGATATGCGCGATGGAGAGGGCGTTCTCCCTCGAGGTAAACCGGGATTTCCCACATATGCCGTTAGCGGGTTCACCACCACAGCAAGCCTCTATAAAATCGAATACTATCTAACAGTGAAGGTCAGTCTCACACACGAAGTAACCCCAGCAGCATATCGTTCTTGACCATCTAGGCTGATATTTCTCTAGGCTCATCTAGCATCAGCGCGAGATATTGTGATACGACAACCAATTGTTGTTTGTCCACTTGACCACGCTGGTTGTAAGGAAGAGATGGAAGCTATCGAACAGGCCGCTCGAGAGGCCGCCCACATCAACCCCGACAACCCATTATTACCGCTTCCTTCAATAGTTCGACCGTCAGATCCCAACGGTCTTCGCCATCTCGGGGTAGCCGTCGTCGGCAGCCAAAAGAAGCCTTTAATAGACTAAGCTGACGAGAAGCGCTGTAACCTACCTCCTCGAAACCTAGAAGGAACCACGTCGCTAGGCATCAGCCGAAGATCATCGAACCCACTTACACCATACCGACTTTTGCCATAGAGAAAGCGACCACTAGTGGTTGCCAGGGTAAACTCAACCTACACCAACTATACAGACATACGTGTCGCCGTACAATCTTGCAGCCTGGATAATCAGGCCAGTTACGTCTCACGAATGCATGGTTTACGGAGTTTATATTTCTTGCATTTTGTTTCTTTTTTGCCTCGTTGGCTTTTGTATTTAGTGTGATTGTTTCTAGTTGGAGCCTGGGAACAGGGGCGGGGTGTCTGGTTTCTATTTCCATGGATTTCTTCATATTATAGCCAGGAGCTCGAGGGAGTCATTGTCATTACTCCATGCAGAATATCTAGCCGTCCTTGGCCAATATAACGTGTATTATTTAATTTTGTTGAAAAGCGTCTCAGTCTCGATACCAGTGTTAATAGAGTCCAATCATTACACATCCATGTTATAATTCGTCAAGGAACACGCAACCAAGACCTCGTCGATCCATCTATCTTACACTGTAGCGTCACGAGAAGGATCCCTCCCCTCATCCTGCCTCAAAAATTTGATGCTAAATTCGAACTTAAGCTCACCACCGGGAATTCTCCAGTTCTGGGGAGTCTGCCAGGACTGGCTCGCAAAGTACGCATAGCAGCGCACGGGGAAAAGAACCAAATGTGCCAATCTATAATATGCAGCCCATTATTTAACGTTCCTCGCTGATTGTATAAGAGGAGGGATGGGGGGAAACATACCCAGCAGCAAGCCCGGCAATCAGTCCAATGGCCAGGAGCACAATAACAGCTTGTGCAGTCTGCGCAGCCTTGGAGTCAGGAAGCCACGAGTCGGGCGTTTGGTCGAAGTTCAGAACCAGAGCATCTGGCGCTGTGCAGATGGTGTAAACCCCAATCACGGCATCGATGATCAGATTTAGCCAGAGCCAAAGAGGTCGGCGGGCGTATCTGAGGCGAGATAGGTTGAGAAATGCGGTTACGCCAGTTACGACGCTCTGCGGTGTTTGATAAGTATGGAAGTGTTTGACCATTTGGGAGAGGGTTACGTACAATGGCAAACAGTATCTGGAGTCGTTCACGGAGGTTCCAGAACAAATAGAAGCCACCCGGACTGGCAAAATCGATGCAGATAACTGTTAGGTCGAAAATAAAGGCGACTATGGAGAGGGCTGCGGCTAGGTGGGTGAGCAAGACTGTTTTTCGGTAGTCTGTTGGTTTCTGTTGGACAGGGGTGGTGATAGTTCCATCTTGGGGGAGTTGGTACTCGCCGGCCTCGAGTGGCTCCGAATCAGCGAGAAGAGGAGTTGTATCGGACGTGGTCGCCATTGGAGGAGACTTTTACGGATAGTTGCGTGAGTTGTATCAGTGGTGATGAGGAGATGTGATGAAGTCGTGCTGTGGACAGATGGGAACTTGGGAAGGGACGACGGTTATTATTTGGACGAGAGGACCGAAGTTCGATGAATTCTCTTGTTATTACTCGCGGCGTTTTGATTTACGTGGTCATGAGGTTGTTGACTTCTTACTGCCTCTTCGGGGCCAAATTGTTCGATCGTCAAGCAGGTAGCGAGTGATGTTGAAAGTTGGATGTTGGAGGATTCGGCCCCTCGTGCACAGCCCAGCTAAGGCTGGCTTTGCACTGCACCACCACAAGGCAGCGATATTAACTTACTACCCTTTGTCGCACAGTCAGGTGTTTCACTCAAGTTAATACTCCTTAGCCCATGGTCCAATAATCAATCCGACGTGATAACGAAATTCACTTTCCGATCTCTAGGAAACCCATCGCGACGGTGAGAGTATCGGAGTCCAAGTTTTGAGCCACCTGGTTCTGCAACCTGTCAATTCGTCGCAAAAAGTCTTTGAGAATTTCCAGGACCGTTTGATACTGTGCAGAGGATGACCCGTAGGTGTTCAAAGCGTTGGTGAGATTCGTGGAGATCTGCAATGGCTGTCAGGGCGGGGCGCTTAGACGAGAAGTTGGCTACGACATCAGGTTCTCGTACCTGGACGAGGGCCTCGTTGTAGTCGATTTGAGGTTCACTTGCAAATTCGGCTTCCATAACGCTTTCCAAACAGAAGATATAGAAAGTAAAACAGTAGGGGAGAACCAGTGGGGAAGGAAGTCTGGGCCGGAGTCAAAATGCGGAACTGAGACTGAGCTGATAACTTTATACCCACCATGACTGATAACAGCCCGAACTTTTTTTTATCGTCTCTCAACCTTTCTCCTCGTTCCAGCTCCCTATAACGCGCCACGTTTTGAACAAAATAGGGCTGCATTTTCAACTTCGTCATGGCGGACCTAGATGAAGCTGCAATCAACAATCCTTCCACTGGAGGAGGTCATGCTGATATCGATCTATCGGATGAGACTCAGGACTTCCGCATGCTCAACAACCTCTCCTTGTCAGTTGCTGTAGCTCTGTATTCACCCTGTCCAGCATACTAAACTTCGCAGCCTGACAGACGCGGCAGATGCCTCCATCCCCAAGCGAGGCGAGAAGGACTTCGAGCCAAACCCAACCCTCTTTCAGGCCGACATTCTCTCCGCCTCGCGACAGGCGATGCACAATGCCCTCGCATACCCACGATTACACAACCCGAAGAATGAAGTCATTGGAATTTACGCGCCAAATGGACCTGCACCACCTGCATCTCCTAAAACCTTAGACTCCATCACCGAAGACCCTCCGGCTGAGGGATCTGCTCCCGTGTCAGTTGGCGCGAACGTACACCCGGAGTCATGCGTCTATGTTGCGATTCCGAAAGGGCAATACTTCAAAACACTTGGACAAGCAGATCGTTGGGGGCGGATATGGCTTCTCCCCGAAGAGGCGCTGTATCTGCTTGAAAGAGGCACCCTGGATATAAAATGGCCCCGCTGTGCTGTCGGGGACGGTGACGAAGATGATATTGAGGACTCCGGGATACCGATGAGCTTACAGGCTGCGTATGCATGCCTAGTCGGCCGTGGTGGGCTAACAATGGAGAGGTTCTCTGTTTTTACGGGTCTTCGACGCTTGGGCTATTCTGTGTTTCGAGCACCTGCATGGTCCGAAAATGATGATGAAGACAAAATATCAAGCGATGTCACAGGGCCAACCAAACCACAAGGACCAGGTTTAGTCGGGATTTTCACAAATTTTCTGAAATGGCTTCGTGATACTGCCCCGACAACGGCAGCAGGCCCTGTTGCTGGCCTCGGTTTCCATCGCAGCTACGGTACAAACATCTTGAACAACCGTCTTGAATATGGCTAACATCTTTACTAGATGATATCTATCGAAAAATCTCAATCATACCTTTTTACGATCCTGTCACGCCCCCCTCTCCCTCTCCACGCGCAGAGTTGCCGTATGCCGTCGTGTGGCATGTTTACAAACCATCGCCTAGTTTCCGCAAGTCTGCTCGTCCCGATCCTGATTTCAAGATCGCGGTCGTCAATGCTCGAACACATACCACCGTCCCTACTCTTTCTCAAATTGGCAATCTACTAGAGAGCACACCTCTGGACCCTCCCCGGTCAGATAGGCAACTTTATGTGAGGATACGCAATGGGTATCGAAACGTCATCCTAGCTGTGGTCGATCAGGGTATCGTGAGTTATCTCCGGATCGCAGATGCAGCCTTTGGCAAGGAAAGGATATACGAGGCGCGACCTTCCGGTGGTAACAAGCTGCGTGGCCCGCCCCGACACAAATTTAAGAAACGATGATTATTTGCAACGCGCATGAACTACTGAATCATATAAAGTCTGCATACGTCTGCCAGAATGGCAACTACCAGGCGCAGTTTGTCTCCCCTTGAATGAGGCCCTTAATCCGTTGAGAAGAGGATAAAAGCCGAAAGAGGGGGATACCTCTTGATCTGCCATCATCATTAGAGCCTCCAGCCACAGAATAGGCTGGACGCAGATGCTAGATGGCTAAGCTCAGGTCTAGAAGTCCCGTAGCTTCGGAAGCTTGATATGCGACTATCGAAGAGGATACCAGCAGGCATAGGCATTACGACGGGCGAGACTGAGAAGATGTGTCGAGTTAATAACAAAATGTGTATATACCCATATTCCTGGAACGCCAATCGTATAACACGGTTCGCTTTATAAATCAAGCCGATAAAACTCCTGCCATTTCCAAATCATTTAGCCATTAATCGTATCAAGCTGTACCAGCTAAACCTGCGTCAGCCCCTGAGTAAGTCTAGTCAATAAAAACTGGGCAGCTCCTGTCGGGGAGATTATGCGTCCAGGTAATCCGCGGCCATCAATAACTCCAAGCACAGCTCTGGTGGGATATCCATATCTGGCACGTTCGTCTGGTTCTTGTTCTTTTCGTTGTAGCACAGATACTCGCAAACTTTCTCCAAAACGATACCGCTAAGATTTTCAAAGACGCAGCGACCGCTTAACGCTTCAGAAAATTTGCCTAAATTCCGAAGAAATCTTTAGCAAGAACCCCCTTTTTCAGTTGCAGACGCGAGGGTAAGAACTGACTTGAAGGATCGAGCATGCGGCGTATCGTGCCTGAAACACAGGCTGTGCTTCTTGGAATTATGTAGTCGAACCCATCGCCGGATACGAGAGTGACGTATTCATGTTGCGTTTGTTCTGAAGACATTTTTTGGCGAATGTCGAGAATGATGCAGGGATGTGGAAGTGAGAGAGGGGGAAAACGCGGAAGAGAAAAAAAAAGAGGTCGCGAGGTGGTCCGTGCTGAAGCTCCGCAACTCCGCCGATACGTACGTATAAAGAAGTCTCGACCACGCTCACTCTCGGCCTCTGTCCGATCTGCATGCTCTGATGCAATGCAGGTTGCTCTAGATTTTACTTATCAGGTATGTCTCCCTAACTCGTATGCTTAGATAAATACCAATACGTGTTATAGTGGACCTCTTGCATCTAAGTGCTTAAATGTGGACGGAGCTGCGGAGACAAGACCGCTTCCTTAGGTATACTTCTACCATCTACCATCTTAACCTTCATTCTATTCGCAAGGCCCAAGCCACCAATGCATCGCATCTACCTCATCCCCTCGCGGGGGCTTTCAACTTTTCTTAATCCCCGCCCCTATCTTCAGGCAAAGCCCGATTATAGTCGAGGCATTTTACGATATCCATACACGCGCCATTTCACTTCATACAGTCCAAACACTAATAGCACTTCATTCCACCCCTCCAATCGACTCACCGGGAGAACATGCATGATTACAGGCGGGAGCTCCGGAATTGGCCTCGCCATCGCAGAGCGATTCCTCCAAGAGGGCGTGGGCCGCGTTATCCTTGTCGGGCGATCCTACGAGCGTCTCGTTCGTGCAGCAACGCAATTGGCGCGACATAATCCAGAAAGCCCAGCCACAACTCAATCTAACAACACAGACAATGATAAAATGGTCGCCACTCGAGCACCCGAAGAAGACCAGGCGCTGGATCAGAGCAAAATCTCACCAGGCACACTAATCCCCTCGTCCAGCCAGATTAGCCTCCTTGTAGGCGATGTATCTGAGGCATCAACGTGGACCAGAGAGTTAGAAAACGCGATGGTATGTATTCTCCTATTATTTATCGTCCCGACCAAAAATCTAACGAGCCCAGCAACCGGTCGACATCTTGATCAACGCAGCCGGTATCTCAACATCCAGCGTCCTCCCCAGAACAGATCCAAAAGACATCTCGCAAGTCCTTCGCACAAATCTTGAAGGCTCTCTACTTACCTCTCGCGCCCTTGTCCGTGCATCAATCCGCAATCGGATGAAAGACCGAACCGCGGCCAGTACCACTCCCATTCCCTCTAAATGCATCATCAACATATCCTCCCTCCTCGCCTTGAAAGGCGGCACAGGTGTTGTTCCCTACGCCGCATCAAAAGCCGGCGTACTTGGACTTACAAGGTCATTAACTGTCGAGGCGTCTAAAACCCTTCGGAATCAGATTATTCGGTCCAATGCGATTGTCCCAGGGTATATCGAGACGCCTATGATTGCCGGTATGTCTTCTCACCTGCAATATCTAGGACTAGTACTAACTGATATACCCATAATCGTAGATTTCAGTCAGACCGAAAACGACAAACTGAAAGAAGACATCCCGCTCCGGCGGCTTGGACAACCGCATGAAGTTGCGGATGCAGCTGTATTCTTAGCCCAAAACGAGTACGCGAATAATTGCATAATTAACCTGGATGGCGGGCTTAGTGCTCTCTGACGTGAGTAAATTTTAATGATGAGATACGGACAGTGTATTATATAGCGTGAAATTGGGATTCCTTGAGGAAGTAGCCTTACGTTCTCGTGCTGCACTTGCAGCACAAGACAGTATTTACGGAGTTTACACTATGGAGGAATAAATTTCATAAATCAGGCCGTATAATCTATTTTCAGCGAAATCGCTCGTGTTCGTAAAGTTGGGTAGTGTATGTTACATGGTGGAAATGCGACAAAATAGCCAAGATAGCCTGAATCTAGTGTGCCGCCTTAGGGCCAAGAAGATCTCACATACCAATCAGCCGTAGATTATCGCATTGTAACCGGTCGTTGAGATCAGTCATCAATGAGGATAGCGCCCCCTTCATCCTCCATTAAGTCGATAGGGTGTGTTTTATCAACCCCATCCGAGATCGTTACATTGGCCACGCGCTTGGTAGGAGGGTCTCCGTTATCCAACCCAGCTTCTTCAGCATCCCGCTTTCGCTTGCCCAGGCTTGCGGTGCCATTGACGTGTTCACTTTCTGGAGCGGGTGTGGGTGCCTTTGGTTTGCGCGGGATTTCGGGTACTTTGTCGAGGACAATTGGTTGCTCCTGCCATGTCGATTCTGCGGGTGCAACTACGACGAACTGTAGGTTGACCCGCGGTTGTTCATCTTCTTCATCGACAACTGTAAGAAAACTTGATTCTGCAATCCCTAGATCTGACAACTTTTTTGGCAGATTATCGTCTAGGTCTGGGTCGTAAATAGTTCCCTGCGTAGTGCTAACAGAGAATTCTCCCCTGTACTCAAGCTGTTGGCGAAGCACATTGCCTACCAAGTCATCGAGGGTGGCACGTTTTAAATCTATTTTGACCTTTGCATTGGTAACGGAGCAGACTGGGCAATTTGGATTCGGAGGATTTGGTTTCTCAGAGTTTATTGCGCGTGCTCCTGAACGCTCAAGGAAGACCTATTTAGAGAAACGCGACTCATTAATGCAAATGATCTAAGCAGACAGAAACAGGACATAAATTATCTCACCATCTTTGCATTTTCGTAGTCATCTTTGAGAACCTTCAGCGACATTAGGACACAGAGGCCGGCCGTCATTGCGTTTGTGGTGGCGATCGCCGGGATGATATTACCCGCCATCTCTAAAAAGAAACTGAGGTTAATAGATCATCTTGGCACTTCAGAGTAATTGGGCGTACGTTTTGTGTCAAACTTCGACTTCGTCTCAATTTCAAAGATTTTTGCACGCAAATTCGCACTTGCCGTCACGAAGTCCAAGGTATCAACATCGTCCTTGTCGAAAGTCAAAACTGCTTGAGAATTGTCTGCTGCCGATTCTTGCAGCGTCCTAAGTCGTGTGCTTAATCGATCCAAACTGCGCAGCAGGTCAGCATAATTGATGGGGACAAAGGCATCTGTTACAATGGAAATTCTAACCTGTCTTTGAAAACAGCCATGTTTTCAGACAATGTCCAGGCCCTTTGGTCCATGGAAGAGATCCCAGGTTCAGCGGTAGACAGGGCCTCGTTCAACTGAGCGAGGTCCAGTGGCTCAGGAGCCTTTCGTGTTTTCCACATATCTTCCATTCCACGCAAACGCTCGATATCTTCCCTGAAAACCTTTTCGAAGACCTTTTCTGTAAACTCAGAAGTTCCCATTGATTGGCGAATCTCCTTGAGAGCCCTGGCTTCCTTTTGCAAGTTCTCGATCTCCTCGGCTGTCGGTAAAGTTAGATTATCGTTTGATAGGACGAGTAATGAGATTTAACGAACCATTATCCGCATCGGCTGAATAGTCGAACTCCTCTGCGTCGGCTTCGCTTGTCCCAAACAGTTCGCTTTGAAAGATTTAGCTGTGTGCGAAATGCACAAAGGCTGACGCAGAAAAACGTACGGTAAGAGATAGCTTTTTGCCCAGACTATGCAGTGTATGGGTTGGCTTGGTGTGCTTCGGATGGTACACACAGGAAAAGACTTGGGAACTTCTTTGGAGTTACAGTCGTAACACTCCGTTTTACCCTGCTGGGGTCAGCGGCGTTGTTCAGATGGGAGGATTATAATGCCGACCTTCTTTATCACCTGCACCTGGCCATTAAAACCAGTTGTTCCGCTCTCAACCAGTGGTACATCGGCAGCTAAACACATTTTGTTAACATGACGGCGGGCGTCAAGATTGTCGAGGGCGTTGAAAACGACATCGAAAGTCGCAAACCAATCCACGTTGAATTGGCTGTCCTTGATATTCGCATGGTGTGCGACAATATTTGCGCTGGGCTGGAAAGTTTGTGCAGCTTCTTTAGCGACCTAATGTAGCCCAACTCTGTCAGAATTACTTCGGGGAGATAAAGCGACGGGAAAGCGGGAATGGGCGACGGTTCGGCAGAAGGACGGATGACGACACACAAGCTCGGGCACAGCAACGTACTAATGCTTTTGATCTCTTGATGTGTTCATGTCGGAAAAGAAACTGGCGATTTAGATTGCTCAGGTCTATTGTGTCGAGGTCGATGAGATGGACTTCGCCGAACCCGGTGAGGAGGAGGTTCTTGAGGAGTTCGCAGCCGATTCCACCAGCTCCCACGAGGAGAACTCGTGACTAGATAATGCGAAAGAACCAAGACGTTAGCGACGCAATCTTAGACCAAGATAAACCAAGGAAGCTGAATCCAAGTCGTGTACTTGAGTGTGGAGAGCATGCGTACCTGTTTGATGCGGTTGGCTTGGGTGCCCAGAGAGCGCTTAAGGTAAGTATCGCGGGTCATCGTGGTGCGATAATCAGTGTGCGGAGAAATGACAGCAGATTCGGAGATACGACATCTCAAGGGGGAAAATTTGAGGCTTAAAGAATGAATTGACAATAAGAAATGAAGGAGATAAGGACAGGGTGCGGCTGAGGACAAGGGAGTGGGAGGAGAGAGAGAAGAGAGAGGCTGCCGCTGGGGCTCCGGAAGTAGATGAAAGAATGACGAACCGACAGCTTCAAACGACCCCTCGGGTCTCTCTGGCCGTGACCAAGAGGACCAAGATCTGGCTCTCAGCGTCAAATCCGCCGCTTCAATGCGCAATGCGCTTGGACAAAATTAGATGCTAGATCAAGTCTGCGATGCAGTAGCCATGATGCGATCGATCGCTGCTCTCGATATAGACTGCGAACCCGGCCAAATTGTTCCGTCCCGCCCCGTCATCGAAGTAGAGAACGCTGAACACATCCATTTGCTTGAGCACATGCGTTTACTTGCAAACACTACCCACTACTAGCTCACATTTAACTGTATCCAACAGATGAGACCTAGTATCTCGACGGGAATGCTTTGAATACACCGGGGAAAATGCAATTGGCCAGGAATAAGAGCGCTCCAATCGCAGTGGTTCCATCTGTTGAAACACAAGGCGAAGGCGGAAATCGTGTCGATAATGGATAAGTACCTCGATGGGACTTTCTGACCCTCTTCTCAATATTTAAATCGTAATTGCTGCTTGTTCACACTAATAATAGCAATGTCTTTGCTGACGACAGGTGCCTTATGTTGCCTGAGGCTCTTATGGGGCCGATTCCTAATCCGGGCAAGTAGTTACGGAACCTTGCATTACTTATGTAAGCTATGCATAACTGGTGTGGAATTTACTATCAAAAAGATTTACACAGGGTAAAAAACACGGGGCAAAAAAGAAAGCATAATTGCGTTTTGTGCAAAAACAGTAAAGTGCTTGTAGCTTAGAGACGTGCCCTCAATTGAGTATTTATTGGTCTTTACTAGGCCGTGTGGCAGCTGTCAGAAAGCTCTTGGGCTGCCACCAGTGAGGTCTGAATGAGTGATCTCCCCTTGGGTCCATCTTTGGCTCATCCATTGATAGACGAAAGGTTGTTCTCAGACAACGTGGACATTATTTAATCTCTCACCTTCAACTGGTTTGCTCCCCCCCCCTGATACCCTGCAATTTTTTTTTTATCTTTTTTCATTCTTTTTCGCCTTCCCACCTTCTCAGTGTACTCTGCCTGGCTTGCAAAGGAGAGACGGCAATATCATCGACGGCCATGTCAGACGACGAGGTGGACCACGAGTTGATCGCGCTTCTTCGCAAGTCTCTCGGCATAGGAGGCGGCGCCGCGAATCCCGGGGCTGCAGAAACGAAGGTGCTCGAGAATTCGCAATATGTTTTCGATAATGCTATCGACGTCGCCCTAGATCCTACCAAAACTAAAGAGGCGGCTGAGACTATATGGAGCCAGATGCAGAAGAAGGAATATACAACTAGCAGCTGGTCGGAGCACGAACTACACCCCAAGACGAAAGATGAGAATACCGTGGATTTTATCTTCACCATGGACTTGCTGAATTTCAGCTTCTGGTCCGCCGAAACCTCCGAGAAGCGGTTTGCGATCGAATACCAGGGAAAGAAGTGGACTGGATACTGGAGCTTGGTTGCTGCCTTGCAAAGAGCTCTGGATGAAGGCATTGAAATTACAAACCCGGAGTTTTGGGCGAACGAGGAGGAGTGCACGGAAGAATTGCTGCGTCATGTTTTCCGCTCCGCAACAGCTGAAGAGATGCCTCTCCTTCAGGAACGCCTCGAGTGTTTGCGCGAAGCTGGGCGAGTACTATGCAATGTATGTGAACATGTGCGCACTTGACATGACTTATACTAACAGATTATCGTATACAAGGACTTCGATGGCAGTTTCACCAATTGCATATACAGTGCCAATCATTCGGCAGCTGCTCTAGTAAATCTCCTCGCAGAGAGCTTCTCGTGCTTCCGGGACGAAGCTATCTTCCAAGGACGCAGAGTGCGGCTCTATAAACGCGCTCAAATCCTGGTTGCGGATCTATGGGCGTGCTTCGATGGAGAAAGCTACGGGGAGTTTCACGACATTGATAAGATCACGATGTTCGCTGGTAAGCTCCAAATTATTGTTTCCCTCGCATTTTTCAACGGCTCATAAATTTCTAGATTATCGCATTCCTCAAATGCTCCATTATCTCGGCTGCATCAAGTACTCTCCGCCATTAGAAACACGCATTCGCAAGCATGAGGACATTCCCAGCGGATCGAACTTCGAAATCGAACTCCGCGCCACCAGTATCTGGTGCATTGAACTCATCAAGCGTGAAATCGAGCTAAAACACCCCGAAGTCAAGTCAGCGAAGACGAACGGCCATTCGGATTCCAATGGAATTTCGAAACCCAACGGGCACTCTAGGGGGCCGTCTCAGAATAGCAATGGCCACCCCATAGATTCCCAGGGTCAACCAAGCGGCCTGTTTCGACGACATTCGAGGCACAGCAGTGCGAGCAACGCCCGTCCAGGTACTGGCGTCGGTATAAACGCCATTCTCATTGATTTCTTCCTTTACGACACGATGAAAGAACTAGAAAATGACGGTCAGGAAACGATTCCCCACCATCGGACACGGAGTATCTGGTATTAAGCTTTGGAGGTCGTTATGCTTTATTTGTTTTCTACTCATTATACCCGCCTTGACACTGGTGTCCACGGCTTTCGGAATTTATAGACTTCATGCTTCTTATCTTGACTCTCGGCGCTGGAAGCAGAGATTACGTTCTCTATGTTTTTAATATACCGAGATAGATATTACAATACAGTACACAAATGAGGGGCCACAAGGCAGGGGTATCATATTATTCTATTTCTTACTGTAAGCTCACGTCCTGCTGTGAAGTAGGACCGATGTTTTAGGCAGTCGCTTCTACTTCTTCAATACGAGCCATAATATCAGCCTTCCACCCAGCGTAGTCTTCACGGCGTTCTGGACTTAACCAATCCACGCGGTCCTGCATCATCGTTCCCAAGCCCGGAAGGAGTCCGCGTCTCGAGCTTCCGAATGAGAACAAGCCACGGTCACCAGGTAAAGTCTTCAGCCGCTTATTGCTTCGGTTTCCATTACCCTCCTCGCCGTAGTGTCCGCCATCATCAGACAGGAATTCGTCGTCACCATCTAATTCCCCGGCTTGCGGGATATTCTCGAACCACTCCTTCCCATGAGCCCAGTTTTGTTCCATGATGAGTGCAATCCATTGGTCGACGTCTTCACGATGTCGGCGTTCTGTGGAGGGAAAGCCGAGGCTCACAAGCGCGGTCTGGCGCATCTCGGAGAAGGTCTTTTTGTCCATTTTTCTAGGTGCATCTTGTGAGCCGTCTGCGGAAGACTCGCCTGGCTGGCGTCGGCGTGCCAGAACAAGGAAGTAAACTGATACGACAAGGGCGTTTATAAGCTCATTAAAATCCTCGTCTTTCTCTCTATCTTTGGCCGATACAACAGGTTCCAAGAACTCCGTTGCTTCCTCGTCGAATTCATCTTCGGCGTCAATCAAGTGCAGGATTGAAGACACACCTGCAAAAATATGAGGTGGAAGCGTTCTAGAAACAGGTGGTCTAGACCATGTGCTCATTCGTGGCGCTGGGGTCGATAGTGTCTTACAAACCATTCGGATAGATGCCATAACCCAAGCCGGTGCATCGGGGATTTTCGTAGAGGTCAAGTGGTTGTTGCTGAGGATTTTATTCGGCCGCTGTGGTGTACGCGACTCATCGTGATTTGTGTATGTTCTTTTCAGAGGTGTAGGCTTGCTCGGGGTATTCTCCAAACCTCGCGGTGTCGCCGAAACTTTCGAAGGGGTCTGCACAACCCTTGATTGTTTCGTTGGTGTTGACGGTGCGGATCCTGAGCGTGACGGCGTACCGGATGCCGACATACTTTCTGTGCGTTTTGGGCTCGATATGCTCAATGTCCGTTCAAGGAAGGAGTAGAGCTTTTTATAAACCCGTGGAGGACAGGGCGGTTGGCCGAGTAATGGGGGGAGTTTGAGCGTGCGTGTGAGCCTAGACGAGGCACAGACTAGTTAAGTACGTGTCTCGAATCAATGCAATACGAATAGTTAGTACAGACCTCTTGCAAGCTAATTCGGCGCACGCAAATGGGCGCGCGATCTCCTCGTCGGGCTTCAGACTTGAAGACGAACTCCGAGACTGCGCAACAAAAGACAAGGCGAGGCTTCGGAGCTCTGGCGGCATATCCTGTGCATGCGTGGGCAGAAGGGTAGCCAATGCCTGTTCAACAGGCCTATTGTTCATCTTGTTTAGTTTTGGGGATATCGTTCGTTGGAAAGTAATGATTGTTGACGGCTCGACCAGGTAGCTGAAACAAGGCGATAGGTACTTTTCAACGCTAAAGGGTGCAATGAATAATAATGGCCGGCTATCAGGCCTTTGACGCACAAATATGTCCCGAATAGTATAAACACTAAGACTAGCAAAAATGTTTTGAAGTGCTTGTCGAACTCAAGCATGTTCCACTTCCAATATCCTCGTTCGTCATGTGACTAGCGTGCTTTCCGAGATGCTTTATTCCGCATCCGCGCCGGGGACATCTCGACCCATCTTAACCATTCTCGGAGGTGTTGCAATCGGACTTGGACGATGTCTGTCACAGTGAGTACTTCACCGAGTAAGGAAGTGTTGTCTATCTCTTCAAATGCTTATCCATTATTTGTATCACAGCTCCATACTACCCAGGGAGACCTAAAGGTCGAGCTTTTTTGTGAAGCAGTGCCCAAGACAGCAGAAGTACGTCACGTCGCGAAACAGTCCCCCTTTTTCTTACTATTCTCCCTAAGCTCTCAGCTCTCAAATCATTACCGAACTAACTGGAGCCCTCTGCAGAACTTTATCGCTCTCTGCGCAGCCGGCGCATACAACAACACGCCATTCCACCGTCTAATGCCCGGCTTCATGATTCAAGGCGGGGACATTTCCCTTGGACCGGCAGCAAACTCATCAAGCGGGGGCACGAAACCGATGCTTCCCTTCGATGACATTCCCAAGGGTGGTACCTCGATCTACCACCCCTCAGCACTAAACCAAGAAATCCACCTCCCAGCCCTCCGGCATAATACGCGCGGAATTCTTTCTATGGCGTCTCGACCGGTCAAAAATCAGACCGCACCTGGATCCCAGGGGGCTACAGGTTCTACGATCAACGGAAGCCAGTTTTTTATCACCTTTGCTGCGGCGCCGCACCTTGATGGAACGAGCACTGTCTTTGGGAAAGTTTTGAACCTAACAGCGCAAGACGAGGGCGGTGACATTCTGACGAAGCTGGAAAAGGCGAATGTTAAGGTTGATAAGAAGGGAAGGGTTGTTCAACCTAAGGAAGGTGAAGAGACAGTGTATGAGGCGCTTCGGATCAACAAGGTGACGATTAACGCGAATCCGTTCGCCACATGAATAGATCCCTGGATTCCTTACAAACTGTGATTAGGCGACTTCCCACGTCGTGACCCCATTATACTAGACAAAGTGCCAGTGCGAAGTGCTGTTGCTACAGAGCGAAGCAACGAGACCCGCCTTCGCTGAAGAGGCAGGATATCTTCGCCGTTGAGTCAATGCTAGCACTTGACTTAGGCCTTACCCAGCCTTGTTTAACGGCCTCGTGAGCTTTGGTATCTTGCTATACCTCATGGGCAAAGTTTCTTGCCGGCCTCGCTCGTCCGGTAACAGAGACCATCAAAGCCGAAGTTATAAACTAAGATAGCATTATTTGCTCGGAATATCAACAATCATATCAGGAAATATGGTAAATAATCCATTTATGCGAGTTGAAAAATGATAGGAACTTCTTGACTTCTTTCATGACATCTAAAAACCACTTTTTCGTACCCTAACTTAACCCATAACATAATAATCACAGCCCCCGTCAAAATGCTTCATAGCCCCCTTCTAGAAAGTAAACAAGCAATAGAGCCTCATGCTGAATCAAATAAATAAATATAAACGCACCATCACCATGCTCACAAAAGGCCAAGATATCATAAACACATCAAGAATCAAAGATCATAAAATAGAGACAACAAAGTGTCTATGTGGGTATCGTTAGATTATGACTTGTTTTCCGCTTCATCCTTCTTGTCCTTGTTCTGCTCGTCCTCGTATCCCTCAACCTTCATGTCCTTAAGACCAAGCTCCTCTTCTTCCTCTTCCGTGCGAGTATAGTCCTCAGTCTTCATCTGAGGGTCAGGCTCTGGGGCGCACAAGTCCTGAACGTAACTGTTGGCCATGGGATCTTCGAGCGTAATCACAAATTTCATTTCGCCCTTGATGGCTGAATCAAGACGAGTGAAGAAGCGGGCCCACTTGTCCTTGTCTGATTCCGCCATGCTGTCACCTCCGCTTTGTGTAGAGTCATCGATATCATAGATCTGACCCTTCAGCTGGTCACGGATTTCAGTGAGAAGTCCCTCAACGGTTGTGAATCGTCCACCTAGAGTTCCGGGTTGGACTGTGACTTCGAGCTCCTCGCTGAGTAGTGCGCAAGTATCGGACTTCAAAATATCGCGGTGGAGATCCACGATAGACTCCACACTAAGTGTAATGCGCTTTCCTTTCTCGGGGACTTCACCACCGGTCTTTACATCGCTAGAGCGGTAGCCGCAGTGATCACAGACATTGCTCCAAACAAATACTTCCTTGAAGTATGGGATGTCAACTTTCTGCATGTTGACAACGCAGTTCTTGGAACAAGCGGGGCACTCGGCGGGAAGACTGTAAACCTTTCCGTCAATAATATCCAAGTCCTCGGGGTTTCCAAATGCCTCTCCCTCAGTCTTGACAGCTTCAGGATCGGCAGAAATTCCAAGTTCTTCGTTCTGTTCATGCGTACGGGCATAATCACGACGCCTGTAGTTGCGTCCGGTGTCCTGGGTCGTAGGAGCAATCCAAGAGTTACCGGTTGGATCATCGAGAGAAACGGTAAATGGGTATCCCTCGCGGTCCAGTATCTTCTGTAGTTTGTCGATAATCGGCTGGAGTGCGTCGTGCAGCTCGGGTGCCTGAACCTTTCGCAGAGGCTGCTCGCTGGAGAGTGATTCGTGGATTTTCTGAATGACACCCTCCACAGTAGTCAACTGACTTTCACCCTTGGGCATCTCAATGCCCAATGACTCAACCTTGAAAATCGAAACATCGCTTCGAATAACCTGCCGTTGGAGGTCCTCTTCGTTCTCGACTTCGAGGGTATATACCGAGCCCTTCTCTTGGATCTGTCCGGCGGACTTGACGGAGTTGTCTTTCGTATGGCAATGTTCACATTCAAAAGACTCCAGAATAATGTCGCGGAAGAAGGGCACTCGGAGAAGCAATAACCTAGTGGTTCCCTGAAAAAATATTAGACGAATTCTTCACCTATCTCAACTCCCCAGGAAAAACTTACATTCTCGTGGCAGTTCATGCACAAACTCTCCACCTGCATGACACCAGTTTCCTCATTTCTCTCGACGAGGTCTCCCGGCTTCTGAAACTGGGATTCAGCGACCTCCTCCTTAGCGACAGGCTGATCATCCGTTGACATTGTTGCTAGTATATATTCGGAGCGGATTGAGCGTAAGGTTACGATTCGGAGGATAACGTGGGGTATATTATCGGTTCATTCAATCCCTTTACTCTGAGTAACGGAAATAAATAAGAAAAAAAAAGTTATACGTCCTAACACGGAATGTTCCTGTGCTTTCCACGCCTGGGCCGTGGCGGGGCATCTTTTTTTCTTCGGAGGGGTTAATAATCGGCGGGAATAAAGTTTAGTCATATCGATAGCGGTTTACGCCTGAGGTGTCTGTAGGACGGATCATCATTTTCCCGAGTTCCCCCAAAGTGGCATAGCGTACTACAATGGATGATGGGTTGAAGTGCCATGAACCCTACTCAGATTTATTAACGATACAGACGCCCGGCTTGGATGTGGACATCCGGGTATTATTTGAATGTGGAAGGATTCGTCGTTTGATTAATTGATATGGGAGACCCGGCGAGGATCAGGGGCGCCTTCGCTGCAGCAAGCGAATTTCTAAGCCCAGTTCTTCAGCGAGGCACGCAAACCTGAGCCATCGATTGCGCTGAATGCAAGATTTTGCTAACTTGGATCAAGATGAACTACAGAAGTCTCGGGGGAAGTCGCTGATAAGTATCCTGAACCAGATTCTGCCTGAGCCTTCGTCAGAAGACGCAACTGCCAGAGCAAGTGTTATCGCCAAGGCATTGGAATTGCTCTCCCAAATTCATGTAGCATTTGTCAGTCCCGTAAGCGATGCAGACAAGACGCCTCAGACCAGTGAGGACCAAGAAGACCCGAACCTCGAGGATGCAAAGCGCCGCCGTATCCTTCATGCTCTTCTGGACCTGATTTCCTTGGAAGGAATTTACCCTTCACTTTCGTCTGGAGTAGGAATTCCTCTCCAACAACGGGTTATATCCGTCTTGCCAGCAGGTGTCGTTGCTCAGCAGGATACTCCTGCGCACAATAAACCCGAGGATACTTCTATCCTGCGTCACATACTAACCACTTTGTCCGAGATTATATTCGATGCTCGACCTAGCATACAGCCTGTGATTGGTGGTCGCATTCTCAGTGATATAATCAGTGCATCGTCAGATTTAGGCTATAATCCGAGTATTCCACTGGGCAATGATCAATCTCAATATCGCCAAATCCTGGCCAGAATAGTTGAAGAGTATGTGCCCACGTGTCACCACATTTGTATATACTGATACATTTCCAGCACACCGAGCTCCAATCTATTGCCTACATTGTCCGCATTTCTTCAATCAAGCCCGTCTCCATGGTTTAAGGAAATCATTACCGGACTCCTCTCTCGGGTACCTTTGCGGGAAAACGGAGTGCTTCAGACGATTATTTTCCTCGCTTCCCAACTTGCGCCGTCCTTGGGACAGGAGGCCCAGGAACAAGTTTACAGTGCTCCGCATATCACAGTAAGCGCCATTATGCACGCTTCGCGGTTGCTCTCATCTGTCCCTCAGGGGATGGAAGCGAGTGACTACTTCAAGGTCATAGGGCCTCAATTATTGGCATTGATCGATGGAAATGATGCGGATCTGCGAAAGGCTGCCGCATATATTGTGGGCAACGGAATCCTTGGTAAAAAAGTGTACGGTGCCCCTGGAGCAGTTGGACATTCAATATTCCTGGAGCCTATTTTCAAGGCTCTGACTGGAAACCTTGACGAATTCTCACGCATGTATATGGTGCCGCCACAAGAAATCCGAGGAGCGACATCCAAATACATTCTATCCAGTGAGCCTGAAATCGTATTGGCAATTGGCAGGTTGAAAACATTGGTTTTACAACCGCCAAACCCTGGACTCGTTAAGAGAGCCGTCTTCCCAATCCTCCTGCCGCTCTGGGGTCTGGCTTGCTTCAGCATGCAACAGCAAATCACGGGCTTTCATAGGAATGTCATGGCCATCCTGCAGACGTATTTTGGAATATCAGTTGGATTCCTGCCTTTGAAAAAGATTGTCGACAACTTCCTGTGGAACGGAGGCTCAACTTGCGCGTATGACGTGGATACGTCAAACAGAATCATATTAACAAAGCCTAAAGCTGACGAAAATGGAGATGACCTGGTTGGCCTCATGGACTCCCTACAGTCACGAACTAAATTATTCATGAGCTTACTGGATGTCGACCCAAGTCGAGACGAACAGACAGGAGAAGTCTTCCTTTATGTGAGCGAGACCTGGCTTGGACAAGGTTCGAGCAATGCTCAGAATCCTCATAAGCTAGAGTTGTTTCCAGCCGATGGCGGCTCTGATAATATCATGCGGAAGTTGATTAGTGCTAAACTAGCAGAAGCGCTTCTGGATACCTTCAAAGATACTCTCTCTCGACGACCTCTCAAGGTGCTGGAGCTCATAAAGCATATACTAGATGGTGAGCTCAGGACAGTGAATGCTCAAACGAAGGGCCCGATAGGCGTCGGGGACAAAAATATCTCTCTTTCATCCTTAGCCAGTATCGTGCCATCCGAACAGACCGAGTCAAATGAGGCTACAGGGAGTGACTCGGCTGAATCACTTCAAGTAGTGTTCAGTTTACTCTCGACAATCCTAGCATCCCCGGAATTCTCTGTGTCAAACGATACGAGTAGCATCCTCGGAACTATTAAAGAGAAACTTGATCAACTTCTACCACATTTACCATCGTCGCTATCAAAATCTGGGACAACTGCCTCCATGCTCCTCGAAATTCAAATCGTCTCACCCGAACAACAGGAATCAAGCGGAAAGTCATCCGAAGTACCGGATTTTGAATTACATCGCCGCGCCTTGGTGAATCTCAATTCGGACCTTCCACCAGTACAAGCTGAAGGATTCTCGCTCCTTTCGGACCTAGTCAAGAAATCATCACCAGTTCTTGACATACCATCCACGCTAACTCTTCTTTTGTCTATCATAACCGACTCCTCGGAAACAGTCGCCAACGACGAATTTATATATCTTAACGCAATCAAACTCATTGGCACCTTATCCTCGAAACATCCACGCACTGTGGTAAAGACCTTGATCGAGCGATATATAGATAGAAGCGAAACTGCAACCCTAGACCACAGGCTTAAGGTCGGGGAAGCCCTGCTTCGCACAGTACAGGACCTTGGCGAAGCCCTCGCCGGAGAAACGGCAAAGGTACTAGGTGAAGGCCTAATCTCTGTAGCAGGCAGACGCGCACAGAAGCCTCAGGCACGAAAGAACCGCCAGCAAATGATAGAGCAGGAGACACGGAAAAAGGAACGCGAAGAGCGCCAAAAGCAGAAAGATGCCGTTTCGGGATGGACTCTTTCGGCACCCAAGATACTTGAGGAGATCATGGATGAGGATGACTCCGAGACAGAAACGCCCGAACAAGCAACCAATTCAGCAAATATAATATCTGCCTGGGCAGCTGGCTCATCCCGCGACGAAGAGCCCGACGACCTTCGCGTTCGTGCCTCTGCACTTTCTATCCTCGCAACAGCAATTCAAACCAATATCATCGGCCTGGGCCCCTTGATCCTCTCGTCGGCCGTCGATATTGCCCTCACAACACTAATACTTGAACCAGACGAAGAATCTGCAATTCTCAGACGTGCTAGTGCCGTCATCCTCCTCGATATGCTGAAATCACTTGATGACGCGCGTGAGGCTCGCGGTAGCCAAAATATAGATTTTGGATTCACACTCGCCGACGAGTCGTCTCGTGGGTTTGGTGCTAACGAAAGCCGAAGGGGGCCCACTACTATTGGAAACATACCATATATGCTGCGCACACTTGCCGCCGTAGAGGCTCGGGAAACAGACACTATTGTCCGCGGGCATATTCGTCTTCTAACTGAGAGCTTGGAGACCTGGATTGAAAAGTCGCTTCTATGGGGTGTAGGGCATCACTCTGGGGATGTAGGGGACGGGCCGCGATTAGACCTTGGCGAACAGATTGCAGGCTTGCGGATTAATCCTTTGGCTGGGAGGAACGAAACGGGGAAGCCCATCATCGAAGAAATCGAATAGATAAATATTTAGCCTTGTTCAAATAAAAAACACTACCATATGGTTCATCCATGACTGCTTCATTATACCTTTTAGCACATGCTAGGTAGTCGACAATACAATAGGACATATGATATGTGTAGAAAATTCATTTGGGTTACATGAAAAAAGAAAGTACTTCATGTCGAAACCGGGGGGACGCCTGCGTAAACTCCGTAGAAAGACATAGAGTGCCATGTCTATCTCACAATCCACTTTTCAAAGTTGACATCATGTTTCAGTTCACTTCAAATCTAATCATCGAGACACATTAACCGCGGCGTCCACCACCACGCCCAAAACTGCGCCCATAACCACGTCCACGGCCGCCGCCGCCACCACCACGGCCACCGAATCCTCCACGACCACCACGGCCGCGACCAGTCGATGGATCACAAGGACGTGGACCCGCGGTAATACGGGCATCGCGTTCCTCCTCGGTCAAATAAAATTTGTTTTCTATGCCAACTAGCTCACAGAACGCGGCTGTCTGCGGATTGTTGTACTCGGGTGGTTGCTGCTCGGTGGTAACTGGGACTTCAGGATCGTAAGCCGGCGCAGTAGGAGTGAAATTTCCAGGAACTGCAAGCTTCCCAGGCTTGACAATATGCTCCTCAACCCACTTTTCTTCTTCCTCGATGAGCGGCTTGTATGTAGCTTCCCCCCTATCTAGCGGTGGTTTGGCGGCCGGATCGCCAAGATTAAGCTCTCCTGCGAAGACACGGGTGATGGCTAACCATTCTTTATCGTAGTGTAGACTGAACGGACGTTGCAGCTGTGCCCCATCTTCGTCTGACACGGCACTGATCTCTACAAGTTGAAGGAATTCACGCTTGGGAAGGCATTTGTCAAGTGCGAGAAAATTGGTGGTTTTGTTGAAGATAGCTTCTGGAAAGGGGGGTTTGGCTGGTGCGGCTTGAGGTGGTGGTGCCTGGGGAGCCAGGAAACTGCTTGGAAGCTGCTTTCGGAGGTCCTCAGAAACTTCTGACCGGGACCCCTGCGAGGTAGGAGAAGGGTGGACTAATTCTGGGTTGCTGGTCGTATTGTCCGCAGTGGCGTTTGACGAAGGGGCGTTTGCGGTTGTGGTCTGTGGTTCCTGGTCGGACTCGCTATCCAAGTCCAAATCAATCTCGTCGGAGTTCTTGACTGTCGCGGGTTCATGCTGAACCTTTTGTTTCTTATTCTCGCGGGGTCCGCTCTTTTCAACACCCGCTAGTTTACGGCCTATTCCATCGTCATCCGTATCAACCTTGCGCCAGGTTAGGTTGTGTTGGACGTTAGGAGCCGAACTCCCTGAATTCTTTGCTTGCTCTGTTAGGAAGCGAGAGTTCTCTTCTGCCTCATTCTTGGCTGCGACTTGGTGGAAATTCTTCCAGGCCGATAGTAGTTCAGGAGTGTTTCCAGGAGTGTTATGAGATGGGCCAGTGTCTGTTGCTTCAAGGCCTTGTGAAGCACTTCCTGGTTTTGTAGGATCTTCAGATTTCTCATGCTGTCCGATATTATGTTCGTTTTCAGGAGGTGCATGAGTGTTTGGTTTAGGAATACCCATGTTGGTCCTGGCTTGTTGGTTTCCTTCCTCTTCTTCTCCCAAAACCATGGATGTGAAAGATGCACCGTCCAGGCCATAGTGGTGTTTCGACTCAGTTTCTTGCGATTCGTGCTGGACAGACGCTGAAAACTTTACGTGTAGGTGGGCAGAAAACCAATAGGCAGGGCGTAACCGTTCGAGAACATATTGTGCAGCCGAACTACCAAGTCTGCCGTTCTGAGAATCTTCGCGAAAGAATTGTTTCGCCCTGAAGAGCTGGTGCCAATCGCCAGAGTACTCAACTTGTTTGGGCCAGTCGTGCGACAAGCCTATGTCAACCTGTGTACGAACTTGAAGCAACTTGCGGATGTCAAGCTCTCGAACGTGATAAATGCTTCCAATTTCATCCCGGTTGAATGGAAGTCTCTCAAAATGGGGCTTTCTGTAGTCATACCCCTTCCAAATACCGGAAAATCCAGCAATACGAAGCGGGCCGAATCGCAGGACGTTGGCGGCTCCCAAATAGTAGATGTTGGGTGCTACCCACCCTCCATGATATAGCTCAAAGAGGTGATTACTAGCTTCGTGATTGCCCCCAATGAAGATAGTTAAGTAAGGTGCAGTTCGTTTCCCACTGTAATACTCATGAAAATCACCGATTTCCTTGTACTTTGCGGGAACCGACATGCAAGCCATGTCGTTCGAATTGCGAACGGCCTAGATGCCAGTGAGATACAGAAAGAAAAAGAATTGTGAAAGGGATGGGAAATGTACCTGAAAGTCGCCGCCGATAATCAGTAGATCGACTCCATCCCATCCATTCAGAGTGGCAGCCTGTTCAACCGACGCGTAAATATCGTGTAGACAGCCATGGCCCTGTATGATGGTTGTTTTGTTAGTGACCTAGAATAGCCACGGGAAACGGCCAAATAAGTCAACGGATCCTTACACAGCCTTCAACAGCAACCCGAACAGGTGGTGAGTTCGAGCTAGACATCTCGATATTCGATCACAGCCAAAGCGGCTGCGAGGGCGAGATATTAGGTGGAGAATTGGTGTCTTGGAAAGTGTTTAATCAAAGGCAATGGTAGAATGTTAGAACTCGAGGAAAGGAAAGGATCTGCACGAAGAAGAGAGAGAAGGGAATAGAAGGAAGAGAGATTTTGGAGGAAGGTAAAGTGCGATGAGGGATGGTAGAAGGCGAGAGAGTTTAGGATGGTGGTTGTGTTCTGCTTCCCGGGCTCATTTTCTTATCAGATCCGAGGCGTGATTTTTTCGTTGTACAACCTTCACACTTCTTTCTGTGTTGTTCTCTCACTTCTCAGCTGCCCTAGCCCCTTGTGTTTTGGAATTGAAACTCCGAATTATCAGATAGAATGCATTTCAAGGAATACACACCCAGGCTGAATTTTCTCAAGGATTCTGCCAGCTCCTTGAGTTCGACGAGCCCCTCTACTGCCGCCTACTTAATGTCCGCCCATAATGTCATCTTCCATGAAGAGCACAAGCCGCTCAACCAGCGGCTACATGATTCGTTCTGTGGTGCTTGTGGTGGTCCTAGGAATAACGAGTGGACGAAGGTAACTTCCATTAAAAAGAAAAATCAAAAGCGCGCCACTTCCTCGCTCGCAAAAGGTCTCACGGCAGAAGGGGCTACTGTTTACAAGTGCCTGCGCTGCCGTCGACGGACGGTGACCCAGCCTCGCGCTCCATCAAAAGCTGCCCCTGTCACTATCCCCATTGTTGACTCTCGGCCATCTTCATCTACTACGACCCCGGCTTTGCCAGAGCAAGTGTCTGCTAGTAAAACTACGGAAAACGCCAGTAGTAAAAAGCGCGCCAAGGCGAGGAAACAGGGTGGATTGCAGGCTCTTCTCGCTACAAAACAATCTCAGAGTGACTCAGCCAAGTCGCTGGACTTGTTTGATTTCCTCCAGCAGTGAAGACTTTCTTTTTCCTCGCACTCTCCTCTGACTCGTCGCTTTGTTGCACATCCTCCTTTTTTATGCCAAGCCCGGAATATCGGCACTCATTATTCCGAATCTAACTGAGACTAGCGCGGGGCAGCAGCTCTCTCCACAGCTTCGGCCTGTTCTGGTGTTGGGTCCGGTGCAGCTTCAAGGTTCCAATCTCTCACTGAAGCTCTCGAGCTAAGGTGCCTTGCTCCAGCCTCCCCGGTTTCTCTTCTCCTTTTGGCTCGTCTATTATTCGTGGAATAGCTAAACCTGTAACAATGTCGTCTGACGCAATGTCGGATTACTCCCACGATGACGAGCACGATCCCCAAACAGATGAGCTCCGCGAAACCGCCTTGGTGACGCTAGAGGCATTGATCAGCTCCTGCAGCTCTCAGATGCAAACGTACCTCCCAAATACCATAAATTCCGCCTTACGATATTTGAAGTACGACCCCAATGTTGCCGATAACGAAGAAGACGAGGAAATGGGCGGTACACAGGACGACGGATCTGAAGACGACGCTACGGAGGAGCCTGACATGGAAGATGACGATTTTGAGGATTTTGAGGAAGAAGGAGGCTACAGTGACATAGATGATATGAGCTGGAAGGTCCGTCGATGTGCCGCGAAGCTTCTGTACGCTGTTATTTCAACCTATGCACGAGGTCGCGCCTTGGATGATGCATCCTTGTATCAACAGATAGCGCCTGCTGTTGTCACTCGCTTCAACAAAGAGAGGGAAGAAAGCGTCAAGCTCGAGCTGGTCTCTACATTGGACGCCCTTGTACGTAAAACTGGAGAAGGTTCGATGATAATAACTTCCAATGGATTCTTTGAATCTGTTGGGAGTGGATCCAAGATCTCCAGAAAGAGGAGACGTCAGGATAGTGATGCGAGCATGATCGACTTTGAACCCAGCATGGGTACTACCTCCGCTACAGGCACCCCACTCGCCGCTCCGTCGTCTCCAAAATCGGGTCCGCAGTCAGAATTAGCAAATGCCTTGCCTATTATCGTTCGGAGCCTGGTCAAGATGTGGAAGCAGGCGTCTATCCCATTGAAACAAGCCATTATTGTCCTGCTCAAGAGCTTGGCGCTTGTTCGATATGGTGGGCTCGCAGATCATCTCCAGCAGATTGAAGATCCGATTGCGGATGTGCTCAAATCTTCATTGCCCGGGGGTTCCTCCGCGTCAGTTGGGGCTTCTGCGAGTGCGGGTACCCTGCAAATCGAAACTCTCGGCCTCATTTCTGCAGTTTCCGAAACGCATACCTCTGATGCTCTTCTTCCGTTCCTCATCGCGTTGATTCCCGGTGTCATCGGGGCAGTCAATGATAGGAACTACAAGGTGAGCAGTGAGGCACTCGCGGCGGTGGAGCAAATTGTAAAAGCTCTCACTCCACCTCGAGTTGTTACTGCTTCACCAGACCTTGTTTCACAGCTGGAGAAATTATATGATGTCAGCCATAATCGCATCACCGATACGAGTGCTGACCTTGAGGTTCGACAGCGAGCCATCCACGTTCTTGGTGTCCTTCTTGCCCGAACATCAGGCGAACGAGGCTCGTCATTCCTCTCATCGCAGTACCGATCTAAAGGACTCGCAACTTTAGTTGACCGCCTAAAGAATGAAACCACACGGCTCTCCGCCGTTCGTGCAATCGATGACGTGGCTGTGCTTTGCTCTCGGAAGGAGGATGTGGATTCTACCTGGGTGCGCGAGGTGACCACTGAACTTGGGGCACAGCTGCGCAAATCGGATCGCGTCCTCCGCAGTGCCAGCTTGGAGACTCTCCGTAGTCTCTCAATGAATTCCAATACGAGAGCTCATTATGATGGTAATACTATGAAAGGTCTAGAAGACAACCTTATCCCTCTCATCAGCGTGGATGATTTCCATTTACTAGCCCCATCGCTCATCATTGTGGCAAAACTTGTCCCGGGAAATGCGCAGCTTCTTGTCAGCGATTCCCTGGTGTCGGCAATTTGCTCCATAGTTCGCACATCGCTCGCTGGAACTGTCCTTAAAGCTCTGTTATTGCTTGTTAAGGTCATAGGAGAGGAGGAAAATGGGTCAACCCTGATGCATAACCTTTTACAGGATGTTGGTGTTAATGGGGATACATCTGTTGTCGGGCGCGCCATCGGCACTCTTTTGGTCCATGGCGGTTCAAAGGTGGGTGTACGGATGGAGGACTTTTTATCTGAGTTGCAGAAGACGCAAGACTCTCAGCGTCAATGTCTGTCCCTCGCTATCTTGGGCGAATCTGCTCTTCGAATGGGCACCAGCTGCTCGTTGACCCCTGAGGTGTTCATACCTCATTTCAGCTCGACGTCCGAGAATGTCCGCATGGCTTCAGCCACTGCACTAGGAAATGCAGCAGCCGGCAATGTTAAAGCCTATCTTCCAACTATTTTGAGCGGCTTGGAAAAGTCCGATCCTCAAAGCTACCTTCTTCTACATTCCGTAAAGGAGCTACTTCAGCACCCCGAGATGATCAGGCAGGACCTGGCACCTTCCGCCTTGAACCTCTGGCAGGCTTTGCTCGTCGTCTCCAAAGAAGAAGACAATCGTGCAGTGGGTGCTGAATGTGTTGGGCGATTAGCTTTGCTCGACCCTCCTGCTTACATCCCGCAGTTCCAAGTGAGACATACCGACTCTATACTCTGCAACTGGTCGCTAACCATCTTTTCGTTTTGATAGGAATACCTCTCGAGCGGAGATGCCGGGATACGTAGCATTGTGATATCTGCATTCCGCTACACCCTCTCCGACTCTCGGGATACTTTCAACAATGTCCTAAGACCTCTGATTGTGCCACTCCTAGTCAACATGCTCGGCGAGCGCGATTTAGGAAACCACCGTCTCGCGCTAACAACTCTCAACTCCGCTATTCACAACAAGCTAGCTCTCATTCTCCCTCACCTAGGCGAGCTCCTCCCTGCCGTTATCGGGGACACACAGATCAAGCCAGAACTTATTAGAGAGGTTCAAATGGGTCCATTCAAACACAAGGTCGATGATGGCCTCGAATTGCGTAAGGTAAGCATACAACTCACCACGCCAGTATCGTCTCCTCGTTTTACATATTACAATGTATCACTAACGACTCTCCCTTCTTCAGACTGCATACGAGACTATCTATGCAGCCCTCGACACTTCATTTTCTCTCTCTCACCTTTCCGAAATCTACGGCCGCATCCTTGCCGGAATAGATGATGAGCAAGACATCCGCACAATCTCCAACCTCATGACCTCAAAACTCATCACCCTTGCTCCAGAAGAAACCCAGAGACAGCTAGATACACTCTCCGAGCACTACACGACCGTGCTATCCTTCAAGCCTAAAGACAATGCCGTGAAGCAGGAAATCGAGAAGGCGCAGGAGGCATCGACAGGTGTTCTTAAGATTACGCGCGAATTGTCCAAGGCGTTCCCCGGTGCGGAGGCGTCTGGTGATCATCATAAGTGGAAAACTTATATGGAATGGGTTCGTGGGCAATTTAGTACCCAATTAAGTAACCTGGAGCAGGAATTTTAGGAAGAGATATAGTATGTATGGTGGGTTGTAATTACAATTCCGTCTTTCAACCAACACTCTCCGTCCTAAAGTCCTCGCTCTTGAGAGCCAGTTATGTTTTAGTCAATAGGAAATAAAATAACGATTTCATCCGATCATTGGATGAGGAACAGTAAAATAGAACATGCGATTGATGCTAACAACGCGGACAAAGTTATGTTTTCAAAGACAGCTCGCTATGTACCCATGCACCCAAATCCCGGGTGACGCCAGCAACAGACTCGCAGACATGAAATCCCAAAACTCCTAGGTACGATGAATTTTAAGCCGCTAAGAGCCCAACCTCCCAAAATAACGTGGATATAACTCGAAAGAAGAGAAAATAAGCAGGAGAATAAGCCAGTTTCACGCTGTGTGCATCCACCAAGGGATAATAACGCAGCTAACGGCAAGCGGGAAACGAAAGATAAAATAAAAAGGATCAATGACATCAAGCATAGGCCAATCAACCAGTGATTGCCTTCTTTTTGAGTACGCCGAGTTGTTCGAGTCGAGACCAAGCCAGGTTCATATCTGAACCTGGTTCCAAGAGAGGCCTGAGTTCCAACCCATCCAGAACTTTTATGGCACCTCCGGTTCCTGCGTAGAGCATAAGCTCGAAGACTCTACGTTTGAGTCTTGTCGCTTGGTCCAAGTTGGAGAGGTACTTTTGGTCTAGCAACGCATCTGCGGGGGGGAGGGTATAGGGATCGTTGATTTCAGGGTCTTCGGGATTGTTGTCCTCATATTCGTCGTTCGCGTTAAACAATTGGCGATCATCACGTTCAAGCTGGGCCATGAGAGGCAAATCCAAATCAAGGCCATTATTCGCAGAACGTGTTTTCTCACTCGCCATTAATTTGTGTATATGTTGTTTGCCATTCCCAGTGAGTGGTGGGGGATAAAACCTAACCGTGAGAGGGTTTCCTCTGATATCAACTTTTTGGAGCGAGCAGCCATTCGATTTGTTTGTGCGGCCAACCCGACTAAGGACCTGACAGACCCTTCTGAGTCGCGATATTGAGTTTCCAGCGACAGTCAGTCGGGAGAGGCAATTCATGCCAAGCAGCTCGTTCATCCCCACCAAAGAATTGAAATTCAGGTTGAGGACTTTGACGTTGGGAAATTTGAAGGCAAAGTCGGCGGGAAGGGCATCTAACCGACATGTTGCCAGATCAAGAAGTTGCACGCTCAAAAGAGGCGTAGATGGCGAGAGAGTCAGTGGTGAGAGCTTGTTGGAAGACAGGAACACCTTCCTAATATCCTTCAAAGCACCGAGATCTAGCTCGAAAAATCTGTCATCAGGGATCGTTTGATCCCGTGCAGACAGTACCTCCAAGTCCCGAGCATGGCCAAGGCCTGAAATTGTGGACAAGCAGTTCTGATCCACGTACAGTAGGGTGAGCGCTGGGAAAAGCCCAAGATAGAGGTTATGTATGCGGTTGTCCGAGAGCTTCAAAGCCTGCAACACACTTAAGGGCGTAGAAAATGGCGCCTCGTCAAGTTGATTAGAGCTAAGATCCAATTGACACAAAGCTGGAAGATTCTGAATGTTACTGATGGACATGA